GGAGCCCATGTTTAGGCTCTGCAGTGAGCGCGTGCTCTGCCGCCGGTGTCGGGAACGCGGAATGGAACCTGAGCCTTATCAACCTTGTAATTATCTCCCGTTACCGGTACTCTCGCCTCGCGACACGCATGCCAGCGACGAGCCCTCGAGTGGCTCGCTCGGCAGCGAAGGATTAGACTTCAAGGATGACACTCACAAAGGAGTGTGTAATTAAAGGAGCGCGAGGCTGCCTGCTCAAAGAGCCACTTTCAGACGGAGGGGGCCCTTTACACGCCGGCGTGCATCGCCGAGGCCGATGTGCTGGTAAATACCAAGTCGCTCATTAGGAGCTGCAGCTATCCAGTGCCGCCTCTGTCCGCAAACCTCAGCCGCTTGGGGTCAGCGGCGTAAAACGCTCCATGTCCGTCGATAGACAACAACCCCACCAGAAAAACTTTTATGAAAAGTTTCTCTTTTTCTACAGTTCATAACCTAAACAAAAATGAATGAGGCAGCAATCAGAACAAGCAGCGATAAGCAGAACATGTTATCTAATAGAGATCATAATGACGTAAATCTTAACCAACATTTTTAAAGACTTACAATGTTCCCAAATGAGAGCTTTTTTGCTGGGAGAGAATGCCTAGGGACGTGCGTGTTCCCCGAGGGCGGTATGTGTGTGCCCCGAGGGCGGTGGCCTTCTGCTGTTAGCTGGATGAGATCGATGGCGGCAGCTCTGTGCAGCCCGTGGCTGGCTGCCCAGCCGACGGCTTTCCATTTGCGTCTGAGCCGCCTGCGTGCCTGCGGTCTCCCTCCTGCTCTCGCAGCCAACACCCAAGCTTAGAGCTGGGGGGCAGAAGCAGTCCCTGCCACGCAGGCCTCTTGTTCCCCCTGAACGCCCCCCCTTATCCCCCCCGTTAGCTTCTACTCCTGCTGTTCCAGGGAGGGCTGCACTTTGTGGTCGGAGGAGGCAGAGAGGGGGATGGAGCACGTGTGCAGACAGTGAGCGTGTGTTGTGTGCACAATCCACTGATCTGACACTGCCAGTGACCTTCAGTGCAAACAGGGTGTTGATTATTCAACACATGCATCATAATCATACATCAAGCAGAAACATCAACAACGATTGTGAAGCATCGGCCTCGTTAGTGAATCACCAAGCAGGCGCTCAGAACTAGGGTGACGTATAATGGATATAAAATAGGCTATGATGACAAAGTCTCCGGAGGCAAAGTAAATGGGCTGAGGGTGGGTGGGGCCTGAGGAGACTGCACTGCTGAAACAATATAGGATAGGAAGAGCATTATGAAGAGCCCTTATGAGTTTGACCAAGAAGGTCAAGGAACGATGAACCCACCGGGACCAGGCGGTATGAAGGAACGGTTAGAGCAACAAACACGTCATCTTCGAGTCTGCGAGCGTGGCTAAGGAGCGAGAAGCTACCCAGTGAGGGAGCCATTCTCAGACCGGTTTTTGATGCCACTGTCCACATGATACTGCGTTTGCTCCGTTCAGTAAGAAAGACTAAATGACTCAAATGTATAAACCTATCCTATAAAAGTGGGAAATAACCCATTAGCGTCTCAATTACTAGTAAAACCTACTGACTTGCTGTTATTGTTTGTTATTTAACTCAAAATAAAGTTTTAAAATACTTTTTAATGTGGAACCTTAATCATTTCAGCATGCTCAGATTTCATTTAGTGCAAAAACTGCAGATTGTGGCATATGTAATAAATGCAGTGCATTACAGTAGCGTTTCAGTGATTTCCACATAATGAATAAATTATTATACAAAATATTAAACTGCCTGCCACTTTATGCGAGAAACACGACTTTAATTCCATTACAGATATTTCAGTTTTGTCTTTTTCTCCGGGGGCTGACGAGTTGAGACAGCCATTTTTTTACCTCACACACAGGGTCGGCTCTAGCTGTAGGCAGAACAGGCAGTCGCCTTGGGGCCCCAAATTACCTGTGTTGCAGAGGAAGTGAAATGATCATCACTTTTCTTGGTAGGGGGGGCCTCCCGATTAAAGCTTTGTCTATGGCCCCTGGCAAGGCAGAGCTGACATTCCCTGCTCCCTCCCCCCCTTTGTCCCATGTGAGATCCGTCAGGTTCACATGATTACAGAATGAATGTCCGGACGTCAGATCTGCAGTCTTCCATGTGCCTCTCCCACTTCCGCCCCAGTTGACCTTCCCTTAACATCTGAAGAGGACAAGCCTTTGCAGAAGATGCTTTGCGGGGGGATATTTTTGTCAGCTAATTAAAAGCCCCTCCCCAGACTCCCGTCTTCCTGATGGGTGGGCTTCCTGGGAGCTCACTGTCTTTCTTGCAGTCACGTCATGCTTCCTCAGACAGATGGGCCATGAAACGACCAGGTTTGGATCAATGGCCGGGTCCATCTGAGCGCCGACCTCAGGAACAGCCTCAGGAGAGACTCCTTTGAGCCCAGATAATGACTGGGGTGTTTGGAAGTGCACTGGGCAGCCTGGCCATGTGACATGCTCACTCTGGGACACAGGACACAGCAATGGCCAGATCTCTATGAATAACAACAACTGTAGTCCATCCATCCATCTTCAGCTTCACGGTACATTTTTTATCCCTTTATACATTTTTATAAATTTTTCAGTTTCAGTAGGAATTCACATAAATTACAGAAGCACAAAGACACAAGGCAGACATAAAGAAAGACATAACACAGAACTACACACACACGCACACGCACACACACAGGTACAAAAACTACTAGACTTAAAAATGACCAGATTTAAAAAAATTCTATGACACTCCACTTACTTTCGCTTTGGAGATGCATGTATAGGAGCAGATTTTTGCGGGCATGTTACACCTTACACACGTACCCCTGTGTGTATGTAGAGATGTATGCATGTGTGCATGACAGAGGGCTGCAGGGAGCCCCGAGAAGGTGCTGTGAGATGGCCTGGGGCGCAGGACGCAAAGCCACAGCAGAAGGTCATTAGCTTCTCATTTCACATTAGCATCTGTTGAATGGGATTAGCTATCCAGGGGAGACTCAGCACGCTACACCTCTGCAGCCCTCAAGCACGGACAGGTCGTTAGTGACACCCTCCGTCTTCCCTCTACCGTCAGCACACTTTTGCTAGTAAGCCCGCGGCATCGGGACTTCGTGCCGAGACTGGCCCAAATTCCCGGCTCTGTCAAGAGCTGCATTGAGCGTTTTCAAATGAAATGAAATTACAGGAAGAAGTTGTGAGAAATTAAGGTACTAAGGCAGAAGACAAGAAAAAAGATTGGGATAATCATAGCTTCCGGTTGCCAGTGTTCGCAATGCTATTTATTTTAGCGCACTAAAGAGGCCTCAAAATACGCACAGGTTTTTATAGTAACATAATCCCACATTCATGACAACAGGCATAGAAAAAGGGAATTGATAGGAGAATGGAGAAGAAGAGCAAAAACAGCAAACAAAATACAAACATAATCAAAAGAAAAAAACATGTTGTTATAGCACTGGCTTGTGGGTATGGAGTCAGGCTTGTAATTTTGGTTTTTCCATGACAACTGGAGCAGAGGGGTAAATGACGTTTGCAAGAGAAGCCATGGTTGGTGAGCGCTGGCGAGAGCGTGGCACCAGTGGCCCTCAGTCAGCGCTAGCAGACATTAGCCAGCCATCTGGTGCACAAACAGATGTTCGTGGCCGACCACATAAAGCTGAGTTGCCATTGATTCTTGTGCCTGAAATGCAATGCAGGACAAGTCAAAAGGCCACCAGAATTGATAACGTGGACGTTTCAGAGGACAGTGTTCAAGCCAGTCCTGATCTTACTATCCACTACTGTGCAGTACCTGTACTGGCGGCTGTCAATGGAAAGAGAGCTTGTTCACAAAAAAAGAGTTAACAAACAAGAGATACAACCAACCTAGCACCTGCAATTGAGGAAGCATAAACAATTTTTAAAATATTGTTTAAAAATGGCTATGGTTCAATACATAAACAATTTTGTTCATTTGATTTTTGTGTTTGAATTATTAAGAAGTTGTATGATCACAGTTGGTGTCTGGCTACAGAGTATGATACTTCGACAGTGCCCTCTGCTGGAGAGTGTGTCTATAGCGCCATATCGGTTTCATTAAGATTTAACCATAGCCTGAGAGGAGAAAATAACTTTGGTTCATCAGTGTTCTGTGAAACTGCTAGTGGTGGGATCTGTACTCGGTGAATCTGACAGGGCACTGAAAACATCACTAGAAGCCAAGCCAAAGGCATTTATGAATCATCGAAACAGTGGTTGCCAAGATGATTTGAAAAGGGATTTGCAAATAAGTGAATTTTACACTTAAAGAGACTCGTAAAAGTGTGGAACAACCAGAGCATAAAGATCTTAATGACTGGTAGAGAAACCCCATCACAGCTGGCAAAAGAACTGCCAATCTGTCTCTGTAGGTGACAAAATGGTTACCGGTCCATAAAAATTTATATCCAACCATTTTCCACCGCAGATCCAGTGCAGGGACATAGTAAGTCTGTGGCCTATTTTAGGGAGCACAGGGCAAAAAGTAGGGATTTTGCGGCAATTCATCTGCAGGTGCATGCAGGGTACAGACGATCACAGACTATGGCCAGGTTACAGACACCAGTGGCCTGTACTATGAAGCGGGGTTACTGGCTTATCGGGGTTAACTTGTCGGATTTAAGGTAGTCTGGGCAAAATGTAAGTGAACAAATATGAAGCCCATTTAAACTGTGGTACCTTAAATCTGACAAGTTACCCCGATAAGCCAGTAACCCCGCTTAGTAGTACAGGACACATAACCACATGATTATTTTTTTGGGGGGGGGGTATCGAGGTGTGAGGGAACAGTGCCGTCCGATCGGTGAAAAAGTAGGTGTATTTATTCAAAACATGACAGCTAAGCGGCTGAAGGGAACAACATGGATGAGGCATGAATCTTTTGTTTTTCCTTCAGCTCCCCGGCTTCCCTGAGGATTCTCCAAACACCGGGTCATGGGCTGAAAGAAACAACACTCTTGTCTGTAATAATTTCCATTTTATTATTTCATGTAGTACAGCCAGATGAAAATACCCTTACAATATTTTCCGCTATACACGCATGCATGAATATATATATACACACACACACACACACATACACACACACGCGCGTGCATGCACGTGTGCACAAATATTTAGAGCAGCAGAGGTGGGGGGAACACCAGTCTGCAGAAGCTGTAGACCAGCTTCCTTAGCTCTTAAGTTGAAGTGATTTTCCACTCTGTCTTTAGATTCAGGCTTAAATTAGGACCACTGCTCTGGTGGGAAGGATTTTGCTGAGCCCCTCTCCATGGTAACTGCTACCGGTCACAGTAGCGCTACATTAATTGTTGCTTCTTATAGAAGGTGCTTAGCTCTGTTCTCTGGTTTGTATGACGAGAACAAACCAGTCTATTTATATGTCACATGGTTTACATTAAACTCATTCAGCATTCGTAGGTCAGTCCCATAATGCCATGCGTCTGCACTTTTCCTGGTGCAACAGGCACATCATTGCGTCAGTTTTGGAAGCCAATAGGAAGCCAACATTGCTTCTGGAGGCGACTGCCGGCCTAGCGCTCGGCACGACTCCACTGGACAGGGGGGTCGCGGGGCCCTCTGGGCTTCTTCACGCGATAGTTGAACCCTAGAGGAGCAAGGGGAGGCAGTTAGGGTGGGAGGATCCCGCCAAGCGAACATCTTACACACTTCCCCTTTGAATCAGCCAATCAGAATGGCTCATGCAAGAAATGCATCCCAGAAATGCAAGGCCTACCCATACTGCCATCCTGGCTGGCTGTCCTGCTGATCATGGGTGTCTCCACGTATTCGTAATCATCTTCTGTGGAGGACGGGCTGGGAGCTATGAAGTCAAAAATTCAATTCAAAACAGGATGAGACGTTACAACCGGGGCATGAATTGTGAAAACTTCCCCAATATCACAGCAGAAGCTTGAACCCGTGGAGAACTTGTGCTGAACTCATGTTGTTCATAATGTTTTGCTTTTATGGAAATGCAGACATCCAACTATATAGCATCTCCATATATCATATTTCATCTCGATACAATTTATATTTATATAGCTAATGCCATGCATTCCCGAATAATTTTTTTTTTAACCAAAATCTTACATTTAAATCACAGATATACTCACAAGGTTTTCTCACTGCATTGGGTCCCGTACTGGACTTAACGGTCTGTAAAATTGAAAGAAGAGGAAACTCAAATACTATGAATCCTTTATGCAAACCAAGGTTTGGTACATGTGTTCAGCAATATTATTGCCAATATTATTGTCAGACTGAATGAAAAGGAAAAGTTAAAATGAATGTACTCTTGCAGAATCAGGGAGACTTATTACTTAATTTTGTGAGTACTTCACCTATAAGAAATCTTTAATGCAGAATTTAATTTAATGCAGCCAGGGACATTACTAATGCAGTGGTATTTACCATTTTAGATTTTCAAAACAGGAAACTTGCCAGATATGGTGTAAATCTAAGTTTGGGTCTGACCCTGAGTTAAATACTCAGTAAAAACTGGTTTATTTTTTCAGTTCACTGCAGAAAGGTAAGATTTAAATTTTTGTGAACAATTTTCAGCTGACCATCCCTTACCAGAAACTGCTTTACATTTATGTAACTTTTTATTCTCCTGCCATTTTAATGGTAACACACACGTTCTCCATTCTAATGATAGAAGTCAAAGTAAGATGAAAGGAAATCCCATGCACACATTCTCTGACCTCAACATGCTGACTGACAAGCGGCCCCCGAGGACTATACCCTCAGTGCCAGAATGAGAGTATTAAGTGGTGCTAGGCCACCACAGAGAGGACGTCACATCAGAAAGAAATAGAGCTGATTGGTGATTGAATTCAGAAATGCATCTAACACAGGGAAAATATTATTTCTCAGTGCGTACCAAATTTAAAGAATAATATAATAATATTCAATCATATTAAATATATTAGATATTAATTCACTTTTTAAAATACATTTGTGATGGGAACGGGGGGGGGGGCTCACCCTGCTTGATGCCCCCAAGGATGCGGTGCCCTTGGGTTCGTGCCAAAATACCCATATGGTTAATCGAGGCCAGACTATTCTACCCAACAACTATGAAGCCGCTTTGTTTTTGCTTATCATGATTTATGCTAGAAGAAAAGGTTTCAAAATGGCAGCCAGGTCATTAGGCAAACTACACATCAAACTAGCAGCCCTTCAACAGACAGAAGTGTCTCGGTTTGACGATATAGATCTGGAACAGGAAGTGAGAGTCATTGCTTGAGACAGTGTCATTACCAAAGCATTTTGGCTCGGAGTCCTAAAAACACCTGGGGAAAAAACAGAAATAACTGTGAGCATCACAGATCCTCAGAAGACAAAACCTGAATATATTCATGCAAATACTAAACCAAACTCTTCAAAACACAGCCCTTATTCAGCGAATGCCGAAAGCTTTTAAGAAAGAACAGGTCAGCATGAAAGTCAGAGGAACAGGTTCTGAGGTCAGTGTCTATGAAGCTGCACTTAGAGTCACACCACAGCGTTGCTCCCTTTTCGCTACATTACACATTATAAGACGTAGATTCAGATGTGACCCTTTTCAGGGAAATGAAAATGAAATAAACACAGATGAGAGCAAAGTTTGGGATCAGAGCACAAGGTCAACCCTTTTCTCCAGCGCCCCCGGAGCATTTTGGGCAGTTAAGGGTCTTCCTCAATAGCCTGATGGTGATGTGACTGTTCTACTGAGCCTCAAAAGTCATGAGCCACAGACCACTGCTGCTCATTGCAGTGCAAAAACACTGCACTATTGCACTATGGGAAAATGGTCTTTAGCACCAATTACTCAGGTCCTCCCATCTAAAAAAATTAGACTGACCTCTCTGGACTTTTTAGACCTTTTTGGACCATCAGTAGGCTGTGAAAATTAAATTAGCACTTGTTCTATGGATGCATTAATTACTAATATGCTGTTTAAGCACTAACTGTTGCCACAATGAGCACACTGCATTACATGACGAATAAACTAAATTAAAGAACATGACATGATTTGTTGAGGCTTCGCTGAAGAAGCCACATGAAGTATGGAAATAACAGGTGAATGTAACGGGCTTGGAGAGAGCGCTACATTCCGGAAAGCCTCACCGGAGACAAACTCGTAGTCTTCTGATGAAGAGCTTGCTGGTCTTGCCCTGTCTGGCTTTGCAGGCTGAGCGGGAGGCCCGCTGGCCCGATTCTTGGGTTTCACCGTGCTGTAGAGAGGGCCGGCTGAAGAACTGGGCAATCCTAGTTGCGCGTTGTCATAGTGATGGACAGTTGGGTGAGGGGGGGCAGAGCCGGCAGCTGGGCGCTGTTTGGGCTTGTTAACGACGGCATACGTGTCGTTCATGTTCTGGGTCTTGGGGCAGGATGTTCTGGGCTGAATGATAGGCTTGCTGCAGAAGGAACACCGGCATAAATTTACTGCGAATAACTAAGGTAAAGTTAAGATGTCATGGTTTGGTGCTTTTTTTCTTCATGGAAGACCAGCACTACGAACACTGCAGCTACATAAGTCCAGCAAGCATTATTATTATTATTTATGTTTTTTTTAACAAAAATTGTTTATTGCTATTACTTTTTTTCTAAAAGTTGTTTTATGCTAGTTTTTATGATATATTAAGATTACAGACTTGGCGGGACATTTCTGCAGCAGAGATCAGTGGTTTTGATATTACAGTGAACGGGGACTGACTCAAAAAGAAACAGTCGTGTCTATCGGTAATAGGGCCATTTTTTTATTTGATAAGGAGGCTGAAACATTTGGAACATGGTCGTGCTCTTATGCACTTATTGCAAATAAATCGATTAAGCTGAAATCCAGAACCACCACTGCTCAGCAGAGGTGGAGAGTTCTGGTTCCCGACCGATATTTTTTTTCAACCCGCCAGATGAGAATAAAGAGTCAGATTGACATAAAAATCCAGCAAACTAAGGCAGAATAAAAAGTGAAGGATCAAACATTATGTCATTAAACTTAATGTTTACACTTACACTTACTTTGAAAGTGGTTTGAGTTGAAGTTTAATTAATTAACCAACATAATGATGCATGCAGCAGGTAATCTGCTGTCTGACAGAGATACATGGTGTGTAATATGTTATCGCAAGAAAACAAGAAGAAAATTAGGAGCGAAAGAATGGGCAGACTTATTATAGCTGATAGGAAAGCCACAGGTGCAAAAATATTAGTTCAGTACCACAGTGGTATGGAAAATGTTAATATATGAATACATATTTAACAATTGTATAATACTAATTATAACAACAAATATAACCATAAATATGAACTTTCACCATAGTGCCTCAGCATTATGAGCTCACATCCCCAGCATTGGGGGTTTAAATCCCACCCCTGCTCTCTGTGTTTATCTTGCGTCTTGCAGCTTCCCTCCAGGTATGGATTTCTTCTCATAGTGAAAAGACAAACAGACATGTCTCAGCGGCATACTGGCATCTCTAAATTGGCCATTTTGTGTGAGAGTGTGTGCATATGCCCTGCAATAGACTGGCATCCTGCCCAGAGTGGACCCCAGTCTGGTTTCCTACCTCAGCTACCCGATCATTTAGATAACCAGGAACTAAGGCTGGGGTGGTGGGAGCTTTCAATATTTGAGTCCTGAGAATCTCTCAAAGAAAAGGGAAATTAACATAGCATGGCAGATTCTCACAAAAGATAAAATCAAGAGCCAGTACATTTCTGGTCTATCAGTATATATGCCGGATATACACCTTTAAAGCAAGCATAATGTTATATACTGTACAAATCCAAATGAAATTCAAATAAATATTTTCTAACATGTTGTCTAATTTTTTTACAGTGTAACAACGAACAAAGGGGCAACAACTTCACCCGTCCTCCTTCCAACTGTGTAACTGTGTATCCTCGTCAGGGTGACGGCTGGACCAGGAGCCTGACCTATGTGGCCCAAGCAGGGGCCTCGGCAGAAATTCTGAGCCCCCTGACGAATTGTCACATTGGGCCCCCCTGCCCATTACATAAAGTGCTGGGCCCCTCGAGTCTGCCAGGGTATCCATGCCCCTACCACAATGCTGGGCACAAGACAAGGTTGGGGTGCACTCTGGACAGGATGCCTGTTCATCACAGCACACACGTGTCATTCCGTTTCAATTGAACAAATGGGGTTTGCGTCTTCGTCATTTATTTAAACTTGGCAGATGAATCACACATACCTTCCAGTGCAGTACAAGGCTCAGCTGTAGCTCACTGTCAAAATTTCTTTCAAGGTCAAATATCATCTCACAAACTACATGTTTTACAATTTTGGTTATTGAAATTTTTATAATGAAATATAGATGTATGCATACTACTTGTGTAAAACATTATCCTGTTACTTAAGAACATAAGAACTATACAAACAAGAGGAGGCCATTCGGCCCATCGAGCTCGCTTGGGGAGAACTTAACTAATAGCTCAGAGTTGTTAAAATCTTATCTAGCTCTGATTTAAAGGAACCCAAGGATTCAGCTTGCACTATGTTATCAGGAAGACAATTCCATACTCTGACTACACGCTGTGTAAAGAAGTGCTTCCTTAAATCCAGTTTGAAATGTTCTCCCGCTAATTTCCACCTATGGCCACGAGTTCTTGTATTTGAACTAATGCTGAAGAAACTATTCGGTTGAACAGCATCCAAACCTGTTAGAATCTTATAGACCTGGATCATGTCCCCCCTCAGTCTCCTTTGCTTGAGGCTGAACAGATTTAGCTCAACTAACCTTTCCTCGTATGACATTCCTCTATGACCAGGAATCATTCTTGTGGCCCTATGCTGCACAATCATTCTTGTGGCCCTACGCTTGCTCCCCATTATAAGATAAGCACCACAAAAGGATGTAGGTTTGTTTTTTAAATGTTATTTTTGGACTAAAAACATCATGTGGGGGGAGGGGTATTTTTTCCACTTAACTGAGACTGGGAAAGTGCTCTTTACCTGCTTTCAAATAGAAAAATAAGAAAAAGAAAAATTGGCCCTATATCTCAAAAAGGAAATGAAAAACAAAAAAGATAAATAAATAAAAACAAACAAAAAAAAAAAAGTTCTGGAACGTAAGAGTAATTCAATGCCAAATTTAATCAAAATCAAAAATGATATTGCAAACCTTTTTGTAAGATTGTTGAATTAAACTGGAATGACCCTATTCACAATGGGCACTTCAGAGATGCCTGATAGCCTATCTGTGCGTCTTCGGATAGTGAGAGGAAACCTTGGGAGATCATGCAAGCGTCACACACACAGAGCGGGATTCAAACGCCTGACCCTGGAGGTGCAGGACAATAGTGCTTCCCACCAAGTCACCACGTCACCTAAAAATCCTCACAATTATGTCCTTTATCCTGAGATTTATTACAGACCAGACAACACAAACAACAAACTGATTTTACCGACATGGGGGTACACACACAGTGCCTATTCATTATTTTTTGTCTTCTGGATATTGTTTGCTTGTTTGAATGCTAGTGATGTATTTTTAAAGCCTTTTTAAAATGTATTGTATTTACTGCCTTACAGTGTCATGGATTTGTCCTCATGTGATATGGAAATACAGGATGAGTGATTGTGCAAGGTCTAACAATCTGCTACCCAGCATTTCTCACTTTTTCTATGGCAGGCCACACCAGCAGCTTACACAAGTTTCTAGTGAGCAGTGAATAGAAGATTGTCCCACTACAGAGGTAACACAGCTCAGTAAAGCCAGCTTGGTTTCTATAATGCCTCACAAAGGCAAAGCACAGTAACTACGCTGCTGGCACATTTCAACTATTTAGAACACGAGATAAAACGGAGCCTAAAAGACCCAATATGGGTCATAACTCAGTGTTAATTAAACATGCAGTTATGGTGTTTTGCCTTGGTATAGCATTATCTCTCACACGTAAAAACAGCATTAAAAGCACGTCAGCAATAATTACTACAAATCTGCAACAATAAACCCTTTTAGGTACAAATATGCCAATAAGTAGATAAAAAACACAACCCAGTTACATACATATAATCCAACTTTTATCTTGAAAACCTTATAGTTTAGTATTGGTTACTTAACCATTAAACCCGATGCCGACATGTTGATCTATGGACTGAATTGTACAACAAGCTTATTGGGATCCACAATGTACAAAACAAAATAGACAAAACAGTCTTTCTCATGACTTCTCTTATGCATCATCCCTGCTTTTATTTAACCTGCACGTTCCTCATAAAAATCTAGCATGTTTTATTCTGAGGGAGGTGCTTGCCTACCAAGTGTATCCGAACTGAATCTTGAACTCCCTTCTCTGTTTGCTTCAAACATCCACCTCTTGCTTGGTAACCACTTCTGCCTGAGACTTCCACATATTTCTGACAGTTTCTATATCACAAATGACACTGGATGTGAAGTCTAGCATTCTGTTGGCTTCGGGCACAATTGTGACGGTAGGTACCCGCAAAAGGATACTGATCATTTTTGTGGGTGACCACCAAACCAGCGCGCGCCAGCCCATCAGGAAATGTGCTCCCCATACCTGTTTGACTCCAAACGGCTGCTTTTGAAAGATGTTGCTTGTCGTTCTTCTTTCTTTAGCGATCTCACATTGTCGTAGCAAGGCTGGCAAAGTCGTTCGCAGCAGGAAGAGATAATCACTTCAGTGGCAGGCTGGTGGAACTTAGAACACTCTTGCACTTTGCATAGAGGAAGCTAGCGTGCTTCCGGACTGTTTCTCACTTTGCACACTTCTCTGTTCTCTCATGGAGAAGTTAAAGAGCTAAGTACTAGAAAACACCATGAGTTACCAGAAAGAACTTTTAAAATACACATAAAAAGGTTTTAGGAAGCAAGACACAAGCCCTACCAGTCACAGTTTTTAGAAATTACTGATTATACTGAGAAACAATGATTAAGAAGAAGTGATTATGAATCATGCAATAGCTATAAATAAAACAAGTGACAAGCTAGAATATACTTAAGCATTAATATATATTTACAGTACCAGTCAAAAGTCTGGAAACACTTATTTGAAATCATTTGTTTTTCATCAGGATAATTACCCTATGTGCACCTTGATGTGATGTAGTGAGCAGGTCTGCCTGCCCTATAGGTGACACAAGCTGCTTAGAGCACCGTTTGAGTAGGTGGCAAAAAGGACCAAGTGAAAAAACAATGTAAAAAAATACCACTGGTTGAATTCCGTGACATTACAATTATTTACCCCAGTTTTAATATTTCACTCCTTTTCTTGAGAAACAGACGTCAGCTAGTAAGTTAGCAGCCAGACACCCTGTGATACTGGAATGTTTTTCATATAAATGAATTTACAAAATGTGTTTTCTGGGGGGTGGAGGAGGGTTGCGCTGAGCAGAATCTCACATCGGGTGCCAGATGACCTGGCCCACACAATCCCCCCCCACCACCCCCCGATTTGAACCCATCAATCTAGTTTGGGATGAGTTAGATCAATGACTAAGAGCAAAGCGGCCAACTTGTGCCCAGAACTTGTGGAAGGTCCTTCGGGACTGTGGGGGAAGCATTCCAGGTGGCTACATCTGCAAGCTGGTTGAAAGAATGAAGAGTCTACAAATTAAGTAAATTTAGAGATGGTCTCTTGCAGATGGTCATTGCGATATTTGGCATGTATTACTTCATTGCCTCTAAGGTGAATAATGTAGCTAAAATAGAGATGAATGCATTAAAAGCTGGTGTGTCCAGACTTTTGACTGGTCCTCTGTGTGAGAGTGTGTATATATACACCCCCCACCATACACACACACACATTTTATATATATATATAGAGTCTTCATTAGATGTCTACTATTAGAAAGATGTATAAACATTGAAGTACCTCCATCATGTTTTGATAGTGGTTGCTTGAGGATTTCAGGGCATTCTCAAACATTTGTGAAACAATATGGTACAGAAATTCATACTGTTCCTGAAATTACAAGAAGAAATTAGATATATCATCATCTGCATCGTCATCATCAACACCAAACTTATGCATCAATCCCATCTTTATCATCTGGCCATGCTAGCTTACTTGTCCAGTTTCCATCACTGTTGTTTATATACTAGTCTAGCATCGGTTATATATTTGTTTGACATCTCACACATTCCCTGATGTTTCCTGCCTTGTGCCTCATGCTGCCCACCTTCAGGCTCACTGTGACCCTCTATTAGATAAGCAGCTGAAAGATAGATAGTACAGGGTCACGGTGAGCCTGGGGTTTATCCCAGGAAGTATGGGATACAAGGACACTATGCATGACATGCTGGTTCATCACAAAGCCACACACACAATCACACACTGGGGAGCAGCAATTCACCAAAATGTGGCAGGAGAAGAGCAGAATACCAACAGGAGAGCCGTGTGACACAGGGGGAACAAGCAAACCCCACTAAGGGTTTGGATTTTTCAAAATTCATGCCCAGATTGGACCTATTTCTGTAACAAATAAGTAAGCTCGATTTGCTAGTAGCCATTTGCAGAACAGCTTTCCCTCTGAAACAATCAGGGTTAATGACCTCATGCTAAGGGGCAGTTCTGATGCTACAGTCACTAAACACGGTGCCTACATGCAGTCAACAAGAGCCCCAGTAAAGCAAACAAGTGAAAGCAAAGTTACAAATGTGGGCCGATTTATTTCTGTCCCAGCAAAGATCATCGGCAGAGCAGGTGGAAAACATCTGCAGGAAACATCATTTTGCACCATGGAATATAGACGTTAAAAATAGTTAATAAAAACCTCTGTTTGTGGGCACTGATCCGGCACCTGATGTGAGTAAAATCTTACACGTCTTTTTCGGTGTGAAGCCCCTGTGCCGAAGCCAACCAGCTAACGGCAGACTGCAGACTCGAATCCATAATGGGACTCAGCTGCTGAATTTTAAAACATGACACGGAATATATTGACATTTTAGCACTGAAAAAACAATGACAACGTGACAGCGCTGCAGTACCTTTGTCTGAACAGCTGACGGCCTTTGGCTCCTAATTTCCAGCACAATGTCCATGATGTTAAAATCCTCGCCGATCCTCTGACAAGATCAGGAGTACAGCTTTAATAACTAACATGTGGATGCATTTTCAGAGCGGCAACTATGGCGACCATAGCATGGAGCAACCGGAGGGAAGCACCCCGCTGCTTGCTGCGTGCATTTGACCGCATTAAAGCGATAATGTTATCATCAGAAAAGATCTATAGTATGGCTGTTTAAGAGTGAAGCGGTAGCTCACGTTAGCAAATAAATAAAACATGCTATCTGAAGCTATTCACAGACAAACTGACTTCAAGTGTAGTACCTTTATCTTTAGAAGATCATTTATATAATCTAGTGCACAGATCACTCCTGTTCTTCCGCATCCGGCACTAGAAATCAGAAAGAACTGGACGTTATACTTTTAATGACTGATTAGCTACACTCAACTGAAGGAAAAAAAAACATCACAGTTAGAAAAAAACAGTCAGGAGGTGACAGATGAATTAAACGCCACCCTCGGTGCTGAATATTTCATTCATGTCAGTTAATTTGGAGAACATTTTCAGACACAGAGTTCAAATGACTGCACGCGGCCTGGCACTGGCAACAGGAGCGACATGCAGTGATACATAGTAATGAGCATATGGGCGATCTGTGTGCAGTGTGAAGCCCAACGTCGGCGTGCTAACGCTGTCGGCGAGTGGGGCGGGGACGCGGCCCGGGCTGCACCTGCAGTGGATGACCAGGGGGGCGGCGCTGCTCGCCTGCACCTTCTGCGCCATGTCCATCATGCCCAGGAGGCCGTCCGACACCAACGGGATGCCGTGGTCGGGCCATGCCATGTACTGGAACTGGGAAAGGCCTCTCGTTTCCTGAACAGACATGGTGCACATGTGCACAAGTACACGCAAGCACACAGACACACACAGACACAAACACAAACGTTTGTATTTCTATCCATTCATTTCTATGGGCATACAGATTTACAGATTTTTTTATAAAATTAAGCTTCCCTTTGTGGGAACTGAAAAATGCCAATATAACAGGTTTTTATTACATTGTGTAATCCCATTTTTATCAGAGTGTAATATACACATAACACACACACACACACACCAGTTTCTGTTTGGCTGGAATTTTTACATTAGTCATAAGTATATCCTGCTTGCAAAAATAAAGACAGCATACATAAATACACCCTTAAATGTTGTACTGAGACAGATGAAAATGGTGTAACATATTCATGACCACGCTGTCAGTTAAAGCAAGAAACATTATGTTGAAATAAATTTCACTCTTTTTTTTACAAAAGTCTTTCAACCATCTGTATTTGTAGACTGATTGATTATTTGCTGCCGCAATATAACGATTCTATCGGCACTTACGTCTTGATATTTCACAGAAAACGTGCGCACAACGACTTCCTCATTTGGTAGAGACTCATTCAGCTGTGAAAGTTAAAACATCACAAGTTTAAATATAACCTGTACTACCTTCTTTACTGTTGATGTGGTAATGGAATGTTTTGTGAAACAGACATTTGTAATAAAACAAAAACAAGCTCACGCAGTTCAATGCAGATGTTAACATTATAAATGTTATCCTTTAAAAACTTTTTACAACCTGACATTAAATTATGCAAAAAATTGCACATTTGAAGACTGCATTACGATGCAAAAGCTTCAAATTCCTTTGATCTATGCATCTAACTAAAGATAAATTTTGAAGGCAGCTTCTCACATTTGATATAACAAATGGTCCAATGATGGCTGTTTTTGTACAGGGTGGCCAGTACTGCTCACATTTTTTCTAAAAACCAGAAAGAAATGAACATGTCAGGCATGTTAAGCAGAACTTTGTACAGAAGTTGCTGTAATAGTCAGAAAAATCAAAGGACTAAAGACGCAGGCTTCCAGTGCACAGACAGGTACACACTGATATGAAGAAAGCGAGGGTATGACGTTAGCGTGGGTCCTGCAAAGGTCTGGCCCTCTGCTGGTGGGATCTGACACTTTTCTTCCTCTGGTATTACCATCATGTGGCCTTTTGTTTGCTGGATTGCTAAACGCCATCTCAGGTGGCTCTGCCAAATCGTCCATAAATGTACCATTTGGTTAAGATTAGGTGACTTGGATGGCCATGGAATGCATCTCAAGGTTTAATATTGGTCATGCTCATAGCGTCCTTTCTAAACGGGTTCCCTTTATTTTCAGGGTATCCACAGTCACTGTTTCGAAGAGCACAGCAAGGAAAACATTTATATTTTTCATTGTTTTGTAAAAAATTCACATTAGAAGGAAAGTACCTTTCCCATCTCTATTTCTTTGCAAGCCATAATTATGACCTAAAAGAAACAAAAAAAACCAACATAAAATGTCAAATGTTTAGCTGCAGGCCGCTTTGATTTTTCGTCTGTACCATGATTGCAGAGAAATCAACAAATGTAACAATATGATCCTTGTAATAACAGTCCTCTCAGTCTACCGATATATACTCACCTTCACTTCATATTGCCAAATCATCCTCCAAAAGTCTATAACAGTGTTGCTCAGGGGACCTTGGGTTGCGATATATAATCTGTTTTTTGTGGCACCCTAGACATGAGACGAGATCACATGACATTTAAACATGTTCCACTGTTTGACCACAGTGGAGTGGGTTTGTAGTGAAAGACAGAAGGACGACAAAGACTTGCTGTACCTGAATTAAGCTGGCATTGATGTAATCTGACTCAAACTCTTCCTTCAACAGGTTGAGCAGCACTCGACTCTGGTCATCTGCATGCAGGAACAAGGAAGACAGTTCAACAACTGGTCCAATTGTCCTTGATATTGAATAAGTCTGGCATTTTTTTCTCTAGGTGTTTCGACGTAAAGTGAATTCATAAACCAATAAGCTATCAAAGGGTGGCATTTATGAGCAAACTAAATGCATTGTTGTTGATCTGATAAGGTGTAGACTTTGAACTCACAGGGCAAAATATCTCGGTAGCGGTTTTTCTTCGTGTTGTTCTTCAAAGCCCCTGCTTCCATCGTAAGACCAGCCTTCTGTTTTGTGGCTTCAGTCTGTGAGCGAATAAGCTACAGGCATAGTGGGGCAAATAGTCATTTGTTGAATACAGTTCCCAAGTGACAATCTCATGCTACAGGCACGAGTTAGAGGTATTTTAGCTTTTCAGAAGTGAGCATCTACTATGCACATACACGTACACATTGACACATAATAATATGTTGTATCATAGGCGATTTATAGATACCAGGTAACATAACTGCATGTCATTTGACCACAGAAGGAAAGTGGACTACCTAGATGAAACCTGTGCAACACGTGAAGAAGATGCAAACTCCCAGGAATCAGTGTGGGATTCAAACCCATAACCATGGAGGAGTGAAACAGAAGGGACCAGTGAGACACCAAGTTGCAAGATGCATTGACTAGTTTAGTAGACATTAAGCGAAAGAAACACAGAATTGAGGAAGCAGGATCAGCCTGTTCCCAGAGCAACTGAGGTTAAGGACCTTGCTCAAGGGGTCAACAGTTAAAGCAATCTGCCAGTCAAAGCATCTGAACCGGTGACCCCCCCCCAGTCAAGTCCACAGAGTTCCAAATCACAGAGCCACACAGCAACCCAACAAATCATGTTCATATATAAAACGTAACATATTAAGCCAATCATGCTCAACTTCAGTATTTAAGGGCAGTCATTATGCGGGTTTTACAGTATAATTGAATTATTCTTTTATTATTCTAAAAGAAGTCAGAGAAATCTATCATTATTCGACACAAAGTAAGCCAGCATCGTAAAAGCCCCGAGGGAAAAAGCACAGCCTTACAGCCTACATCGGAATGGAGAAGTTAACAAGCAGATACCGCTAATCAAATGCATTTATTTCATTATTACTGTGACAACTGCTTTCAAACCAGAGCCTGGGGCTATTAATACTTAGAGCAGGGCTCTTCAAATCTGGACTTCGATTCCAAATCCAGGCCTTGTTTTCAGTTCTCCCAGGTAGTTAGTTTAATGATTACTGATTCTGATTGGTCAGAGGCTTCACACCCGGCTCACAGGTAAAGGAAGGCTGGAAAACCAGCAGGGCTCGGACCTCGAGGACCGTGATTTGAATAACCCTGGCTTAGAGAATTACACCAGGTTGGCAGGCAGGTTCCTGCTGCACATTCATTTTTCATAGGCTTGAATTGTTGTTCCTTTAGACCAGGGGTCACAAACTCCAGTCCTGCAGTCCCGCAGCCCTGTGTAGCTTAGTTCTTTTCCAGTTCCGCCACAAATGATTCAGCTCAAGAGCTGTGTGGTAATTAGCACAAGGAGATGAATCAGGTGTGTTAAATGAGGGTGAACCAAAAACTGTGTAGGGCTCGGGCCCCCCAGGACTGGCGTTTGAGACCCCTGCTTTAGACATTGTATTTCATACAAATGAATGCTTCAAACCTTCAGGTTTAGGCCTGTTTCTGCATGTTGACTGCTGACTTGTGAGTATGAAAATTGAGCCGCCGCCCTCACATACCCTCCGGATCAGATCTGTAACACTGCTACAAACTGGAAGTTCACTTCACAGCCACTTGGGTTGTTTCAGTCAGAGGGGTAAGAAGCACCCGTCCATCTTGCATAACCACATATTCAGTACAGGCTCACGGTGGACCTAGGAGGCCCAGGACATGAGACTGGGGAACACTATCGAGTCCAGAAAGTAAACTGGTGTACCTGCAGGAAACCTGTGCAATTATTGGGAGACAACGCAAACTGCCACAGACTGAGCAGAGGTGGATAGTTCTGGTCCAGTGAGTAAAAATCCAGACCAAGATTTTGTTTCAACCAACCAGTAGAGAAAGCTGAATCTATGAGTCTTTAAAACTCAACTGGTCTCTGAACCTCAACTGCCCACCCCTGGAATTGAGCCCCCAGTCTGAAGGTGTAATAGTACAATGCCAACCCCCCAGAGAGGTGCAGGCATGGTCAAAATAAAAATAGCTGTTTTAGTTGGCTACCTGCATTTTTCTCCAGTGGAAGGTATCAAGCTTATTTGTCACATGTTATATTTACTGACGGAAACAGGAAACAAATAACTTCACTGGATTTCAGAAAGGACTATATTCTAGAGGTACTGCCGTAGGTAAAATAACTTTTAAACATTTTATTAAATGTATTTACATCCTGCAAAACAGGGATCATTTAAGAAAGCTGTTGTAGTAACAAACTGTCTTATTTTTAATGCAAAATGGAATGATTGTTTTAAAAAGATAATTGAACAGAATTATTTATAGCATCATTGTTCTCGGCATGCTGTCGTGTCAGAAAGCACCATACACTTCAACTAGCAGCGGTTTTATATTTGTCACTAACATGCCTATGTGTCTGTACTAACCGGGCAGTTAAAATAAGCCTCTGGAAACTTTTTTTGGTTTAGCTAACTTCAGATGATTTGTTATCCTTTACCTTCTGCCATTTGGTCATAATGGCAGCCATACAATGGGGGGGGCCTTTTTTACAGTGAAAGCTACTTCTACGAAAAACCAAATAACCTCACAGTGAAGTGATGGTAAAAACTGTCAACAAGCCCTGGCAAATATGTTGCTGTCCCACATCAAAAAAATAAAAACTAAATATGGATTATTGTTATTATTATTATGGATTATTTTATTTTCTAAGCCACCCCTGTAAATTTAAATGCCCCCTGATTGCCACCCCCAAATTGACATTTTCTATAGGCTCCACTGATACGACATACAAAAAATAATGAAAAATGACGTCGTATTTGTGTTACGTATTACTCAGGGGCTCCCTGCTGGCTCGCAGATGATGGGCTGACAACCACTGCCCTGCATTTGCCTTAACAACAAGCAAGGCAGAAGTGCATGCATTGTGAATTAATGCACAGTGTGTAATCGCTGAATATGGCTAAACTGAAGCTTCCTGTATGCAGAAATTAAATTTCATGTTAGTACAGTAGTACAGTTTATATTAGAAAAACCACAAAACAGAAAAAATAAGAAAGAGGAAATGTGTGACTAAAAAGGGTAAAAACCACTTCATTAAAAATAGTTTACGGTTCACATTTTTTTAATTTACTTTGAATAATTAAAAAAAAATGTGAGTATATCCATCCATCCATTTCCTGTAACTGCTTATCTTTTTCAGGGTCGTGGGGGTCCGGAGCCCATCCCGGAGGCCTCAGGCGCAAGGCAGGGAACAACCCAGGATGGAGAGTCAAGCCATCGCAGGGCACACTCACACACCATTCACACATGCACACCTATAGGGAGTTTGGTAACTGCAATTCACCTCAGCATGTTTTTGTAATTATATCTTTGTGAGGACTCTCCATTCATTTCTATTGGGAACACTCTAATCCCAATATGATGACCTTAACCCCCTACCCAGCCCTAACCTTACCTAAGTAATCAAACAAAACACAAGACTTTTGGCATTTTTAGCTTTTTGATTGCACTTAACCTGAAAAATGGTCCCCACAATAAACTCAAAATAACAGGTTTTTATTACATTTGATATAAAAATAATCCCCCCCCACACACAAACTTAAATCTTATAATTCTTATTTAGAAATTATATGTATATATTAGACGTGTATGTAGACATGTATAACATATATTCATACATATAATTTATAAATAAGAATGATTACATAAAATTAACATTATTAATAAAAATAACAATACAAATAGTAATTATTGTTATCATTATTGTTATTATTATTGTTGATGTTATTATTGTTATTATTATTATAAAAATGACATATATGAGATCAACGTGCTTATGTGCAGGTAGATATACAGTATGTCCGACTCTATCTGTAGGCAGAATATGCAGTCGCCTTGGGCCCCCAGATTACCTGTGTTGCGGAGGAAGTGAAATGCTCATCCCTTTTCTTGTTAGGGGGGGGGCTCCCAATTAAAGCTTTGTCTAGGACCCCTGCAAAGGTAGGTCTGGCCCTGGCTGCAACAAGACTACACCATGTAAATGTTACGAGAGCTGCATCATCTAAGCCAGGGTTATTCAACTCACGGTCCTTGAGGTCCGAGCACTGCTGGTTTTCCAACCTTCCTTTACCTGTCAGTCAAGTGTTTAGCCTCTGACCAATCAGAATCAGTAATTATTAAACAACTACCTGGGAGAACTGAAAACACGGCCTGGATTTAGAATCGAGGTCCAGAGTTGAAGAACCCTGATCTAAGCTCTCCTACATTGTAGAATGAGGAAGAAGGACAGATATGAAGCTTATCTCACTTTCACAATTAAGCCATTGACACCACACAGGACCATGGAATGGGGGGTGGGGGGAATAAAGTCATGGCCACTTGTCTCTATGCTTTTGAAAAATATAAAATTTTGTTTAAAACACGGATATAATTCGAGCTTTTATTGATACAGTTTCATCTGTTTGGATTAAATAATTTGCAGGTAATTTTTTTGTGCATTGTTAATGACGGTCCATGAGCCGAAAAACGAGAAAAAAATAACCACGGTATCATTAACCCATTATGACAAAATATAAGAATACGTGCCAGGCTACTAATTTCCATGCCTGATTTACACCAATTCATCCTCATACTGCTACAACAGGCTAACAACATCATCGTGATCATACATGAATATCAATAATAAGTATAGCAAAGCGAATTAGGAAGGAAATGCTTGCAAATGGCAGATAATAGGTGATTTATATGCCATATAGGCTAGCCATAAAACTCCAGAAAATAAGGTTTAGGTCGTCGGTTCAAGTGTTAGGTGAGGTCTAACTGTAGTTTCGTATGCGATGGGGCATTTATATTAAATGCTTACATAATACGTCTTAAATGAGAATAGCTACTTCAGCATCTTTAGGTTATAGGCTTATAACTGGTTTGGGTAAAAACCGGCCGGGTTGCCAGCTTTGGTCAGCTGGCTAGAGTGACATTTTCTATTTGAGATAAGTCTGCACACACATGCACACATATTTACATGTATGTGACAGTTTTATTACACTGTAAATAGACACAACGCTTTTGATGTAGCCAAATTGATGTTTATAATGGAATACTATGGATTTGCCGTAAGATTTCTTGCGAGAGCGTCTGCAGGCGTGAGTGTCGCGCCAGATGCGCGAAAGTTGGCATATCTGTAGACTAAAGACATTGGTGCACTTAGCTAAATAAACTGTGCAATAAACGGTTAACAAAAGATTATTTCAGAAATACATTTCAACTGTAAATGAAATTTAAAACGTAAAAACCATACTGGGAATATAGCTTATGCTTGCAGAGTTTAGCTGTTGTTTGCTCAGTCACTTGTCTTAACGGATTATTGATCTACCCTCCACCCAGTTCGCGGTTGACTTTCTTCTCTCTGGCAAACGCAGTTAACCTAGTCCAAAGTTTCATAACAAGCCATAAATAAATACCACGAAGATCGAAAAAAGAACAAAAGCAGGTTGAAAAATGAAACGAAACGCCAGAAATGCACTAGTTCTGGACAATGAAGTGCGATAGTGAATTTTATTCACTCAATTATTTTCTCAATATTTGTCTTAATTATTTTGCAACATAGCTTACTAACGAAATTAAGACTTGTATCTCTAAAACAACTGTACACAGTAAAAAGTAGTAACTTCTTTTAAATAGAGACAAAGACTCTATTATGAGAAGTAATGTTTATGCTGCTGACAATTTAAAAATGCGATCACTTACAAGACTAACTTTCTACTTACATTGTACTCTGTAGCAATTTTTTCAACTGAACCCCAGTCACTAACTCCGGGACGTTTCACCTGATCCAGGAATTTTTTCAGGTGCCTTTCCATTTTGCCTAAAGCGTACTAATTCAAAATGCTGCTTAAAATTAAAATTTAACTTTCTAATCCAAAATGTTTGCTTGGTTTTGCAGCTGACTGTAATTCACGTGAGTATATTAAGGAGATAACGACGCTGCCTGCCCATTCGTCATGAGCTACACGAATAGCTGGCTTGTATTATTTCCTTTTAGCAGTGCAAGTACGTGTCAGCGGAAAAAGACCAGACGAGGAAGTTTCTTACTTTTCTGTTATATAAAATGTAGGTTAAACACCGGTGTTCCGGGCAATTCGGTTTCCCTATGTTTTCCCTGTCTATCAGGAAATAATGTTTCCCCTAATATTAAAGCAAAGAGGTAGGCTATGTGAAATGTCTGAAAATCACTCATGTACATTAATTATTACATGTGAATACTGTATTGTTATTAGTACCGAGGCCCAGAGTTGCTGTATACCTGTTTTAACAGGGGGGAACCAAATATCCTGGATGTCAGGAAATAATGTTTCTCCTAATATTTAGGCAAATAGGCTATGTATGTGACATGTCTGAAAATCACTCAGGTACATTATTACTTGTGAATACTGTAGATCGTCACGCATAATATAGTCTTATAAGCAATACTATACCGTTTTCATCAAGAAATATCTATATCCAGCGAATTCAATACTTTCGTGTATTATCTGTAAAAACAAAAAACATCGAAAAGGCATGTGATGTTTTAAAATATATGGCTTGTTTACCTCAAGAGCTTCGTAAAAAGACATGAAAACAACAGCGAAACCGTGTACAAATCAGCGCGCGACAGGAGAAACATAGGGAAATTGAATTGACACCTGTTCACCAGCATCCTCAGCAGTACAGTGCACATGTACCGCAATATACTTGAATACAAACTGGTATACTTTAACAGCATATGCATCAATGTTATAGTGACAGTGACCCCTCAAGGATCGGCAGCCTGCGTTCATTTTTCAACATATTATTTTACTGCTTCAAAAAATATTTTGTAGATACTATTAACACACAACCTGAAATGAATCTTAAATAATTATTGGTGATAGTGTTATTATTGTTGTTATCGGTGTTTAGCATCTAAGAAGTCTATAATTTTTTGGCATTACAGAAAATAACTTCATCGTTAAGTTTGTGTATGCACTTAATTAATTCAAAATAATATCGGAGTAGACGATAACTAAAGCTGCAGTATTGCCATCGTGCGGATATCAGTGGTACGACCCGTATTTTAGCCGCTTTTCCGTTTACCTATAGGGTCACGGGGGCACAATGTTTCCATGACGACTCATCCTAGACAGCGAGAGTCAGTCTGGAGGAGGCACAGGGCACACGGTAGGGTACAACCTTGTTTGGATGGCAGTAGACACACAAGAGTCTACAAAACTATCCAGAGTAACATTGTAATGTAATACTTTGTTATTATTTTGTTTTGATTGAGAATGCGTTGTTATATTGATTGCATAAACAGAAATAGTGGCTGAATAGGTGAGAAACACTGTTCTATATTCATCACAAATATCATGCAATTCTGATACTATGAAACATGACGGTTCTTTGATAGAACTTTATACCCAATGCCACATCTTCGAAATCGACAATGCGAATCGCTAAATTGGAACTGAATTTCTTTTGCTTGATTCCTTTTACTAATGTTTTTAATAATTATAGTTTGTTCCAAACAGAAAGACCAAGATTGCACCCATTTAGTTATTGCACTTATTTCTAGACAGTCACATTTCCAGACACACTGTCAGTAAAATTAAGCTGGCAGCATGGAAGGATGATAAATACAGAAAACCTGTGAAATCGAGAAAAGCTTAAACTATATACATCCAATCGCCATATTGTAACTGAAAAAGCTATTTATATATCATAAAGGCAAAATCATTTATTACAAGGCAATATTAACGCCACCTATAAAATAATGAGGTCAAACATACTGCGTTTGTTCCTTGAGTTGAAGGTAATATTATTAAACATTTAATCGTTTTTGACATCGATCGCCTGCTCGCTTCATACAATTGGTTGAAACTCACAACAAGGATGAGAAAAAAAACGATGCGAAGCCTTACAATTGGCTCGTACTGTAGGAGCTTCCGACTCCTGGACTGATGCTCGTCTCGGGTATTGGTGGAGGTTAGCTCATAAACTCTAATAAAGCGTTTTGTGTTGGCTAATGCTGCATGTCAGTCTACCGGTATGAAGTACTCCGGATGTAGCTGGAGAGCCTGTCGTGCCCCTTTCAAAGTGTTTACTTGTTATATTTATACGATTGACGTTGCGTTCTGATGTTACCGCGGGACCGTTTCTGAGTTGAAGGGACGGACCTGAATTCCATTTTGTGGTTTATTTATTTGTTGAATAGGTGCGTAAAAGAGCAAGGCTAGTTAATCGCCTTAGGTTACCGGGAAAGGAGAATTAACTTGCTAGCAGATTAGGAGCAGAACGGCGTCATTCACTTCAGCTAGCTAACAGATATGTGTTAGCGTCACGCGCTGTCTGGGTAGCTAAGCCGCGTTTCGCCCGAACGGAAGGGAAATAGCGACTCGTGTTGGGTAAGTAGGCAGTCGGTTGGTTAGCTAGCTCAGGTTAGTCGCTTATATGAGTAACTTAACTGCCACCCTGCTTTGTCGTGAGGGTCCTTGGAGCATGAAACGTATGATGGATTTAAGCTAGCTGGTTATTATAGGGTAGCCATTTGTATGGGTAACCAAAGTAAGTTACCGAGCTACACTGCTTCTGTAGCTAACCGGTAGCTAACAGGATGGTTAGTTTTGTTTCACCCGATTTGCTTAAAACGACACCCAACACTTGGAAAGTTATTTTTCTTACTGTATAACTATGTGCAAATCCTGGTTGTGTAATCATAGTTTTGTGGTGATTTTCGAAAATGTTAAGTAGCTGTTAGCCTGTTAGCAGACAGGTAACCTGCCTTAGGTGATTGTCACATGACGTCAGATGTTTGCTAGCTAGTATTTTTCCCCCCCCGCAGGGGAAACCCCCACGGAGGCTTTTTAAAAATCGGCGGTGCAACTTTACATAATATATTTACCTAAATAATGTGCTGTCACTAGCCACATGACTTTCAAGTTTTATATAAGAAATAATCCTATAAATCGCGCTGAGTAAATAATATCGATTCATTCATCCTTTTTACCATTTATATGGTCCTGGTGACCAAGTATTATGGAATAATAAAATTGTCTTTTAAAGTAATTATCCTGTTTTCGACCCAAAATAAAAGTGGTGTTTTGTATGAAGCTGATATGCGTAGTTTTACTTTACTCTGTGTTTGCTCCCTTAGGAATATAAGGGGTTTTCTGAGTATCGTTAATCGGATATTGTTTCAGTTTACTCAAGATGGTTTGAGATTTTGTTGAGTGATGCAAATTCTTTAACCTTGTAACAAGAAGCATTCTTTTTGAAAGTTTAATATACTGTAGCATTTTATTGGGATGTTTGTTAAATGTTCTTAATAGCTTTATTTTACAAACACATTGATTCCAAACACAATGTTTAAAATTTAGTTAATCTAGTAATAATGATACTCGCTACTCTGGATAATTAAATATTTCCTCATTCCTTGTTGTGTGCTTGCAGCATCTAGGATGTTGAGATGGAGGGTGAATATCCACAGAGTCAGGAGCCACAGAATGTGAAGTGCTGTGACTCCCGGTTAGACTGCAGCCACATTCGGACAGGTACCAGTTCTTTATTGGGCAATACCACTGTCATGTTATTCTCCCCGGCCCAGCCCAATCTTCATGTCACTCAGGAGCACATGCCCTCTGATTTATGTGCTGTTGGCTACTTTCTGCTCCAGAACATGCCTGACAAGAGTTCTACTCGTGTGGTCCTCCAGACAGAACTGTTAGCCTGTTGTAGGCCTCTCAGTAAGGGGTTAGAGGGAGCAGGAACCAGTCATCCCACCTGCCTGATGGAACAGTGATCTTGAGGTTGTTCTCCTGGTTGTCTCATTGTGGCATGGCGCGGATCGGATCTTGAGTTTCTGCTGTTGCCTCAGTTGAGTTTCCTCAGACTACAGTACCATTGGATGGTTCTGTCATACTCGCTGATTACCAGATTCCATTAATGTGATTGCATACAAAATGTTGACTTGTAGGGGATTCATAATCTTTAAAGACTAACTTGGCTAATACTTGGATATTGGTTGTTATATAGAAAGGTACACTTTGGGTAGATAAAATCATACTTTTCTCACTGTGCTTGTCTGGTTTCGGAGCTACAGGTGTTTGGCCCTGTGTCAGAACAACCCTCCTTATAGTGAGCATGGGAAATGAAACCTCGCTGCTTTAAAAAACTTAAGTATCTATTGGAGCTAAATGTATGAAAGGGATTCATGTGCAATAATAACTCCAGTGTTCATTCTGAATATTCCATTATAAAACACACTGGGAGATCTTTAACAACACCGATTTTGTTAAAGTTGTTTTTGTTTCACAAACTGAATAAGAGATGTTTTTCTTTTATGTCAAAACTCTTGTTTCAGCTCAGAAAGCTCACTATTATCTCTATATTAAAGAGTACCTGATTAGTTTATACAGATAAGATGTGCATTAACAGCAGGAATATGGCTGTTTGGGTTTTCACTGCTGCAACTCCTTCTCTAGATAATCTAATCCAGGATGTGCCAGAATGCACAGTACAAGACCTGTGGCTCAGTAAAAGAGACGACCTCAGCACCAGCGCCACAAATGGGCCTTCAAGTGGGCAGGAGCAAGATCCACCAGAAATGGGGAAAGGGCCTGAACAGGAGCTCTCGGACACAGGGAGCGGAGTGCTCCCGGAGGGTGAATCGATTGTCTGCGTAGCACCAGTAGGAGACCCTGAAGAGGCGTTTAAGTCAAAGGGCGCGGACGATGAGGATCAGGCTGAAAACGCCTCCGATTCTGCCTCCACTGACAACACGCTGGAGGACTCCAGTGAGTTCATGGTGACTGTGCTGGGCAGAGGGAAGCTGGAGGACGAGGCGCCCGAGGCTGGGCCAGGCTCCCCGATGCTGGCGCCCTCCTCTTCCCACCGTGATGAGGACATCACCGGCGAGAGCTGGAGGCTCCACAGGAAACATGTGTTCGTGTTGAGCGAGGCCGGCAAGCCCATCTACTCGCGCTACGGCAATGAGGAGGCGCTGTCCTCCACCATGGGCGTCATGATGGCACTGGTGTCCTTCGTTCAGAGTGGCAACAACACCATTCGCTCTATTTACTCAGGTGAGGATATTTAAAGGGCACTAACCTGTTCATTCCCTGCAGCAGATTAATGACATTCAGTAACTATAAAACTAATTCGCATTTCAGCTGATAAATGGGTTAGCAGTAATGTGAATACTGCTGTATTAGGGAGTGTTTGCCAGACACAGCAGAAAATTATGCATTACAGTGTTTACGGTTCAGATCTGTTCATCTCCAATTTGCTTATCCAGTACATGGTCAAGGGGAACTTGGAGACTCTCCCAGGCAGAATAGCATCCAAGAACAGGATGCTGGTTCATCACAGGGCACACACATTCACAATCGCACACTATGGGCAATTTTAAAGATGCCAGTTCACTCAAACGTACCTTTGGCCCATGGGAGGTACCTGGAGTACCCGGCGGTAGCGTATGCAACCTAGGAGAGCGTGAACATGCTCGCTTTGCACTTTAGGCTCTGGAAACTCTGCAAATGCTATCTGTTGATCTGCCACATTACCTCTTTTTTTTTTTCTCTTTCTTTAAGTGACAGCTTCTTCCACACTAAAGTGTGCAGAGATTTGGGCAGCAGCACACTGGGTCGATTTAACAATATATCTATTTGCAATAAGTACAGTACCTGAAGAGGACTAGTGTGACTGAAACATAACTGCCCATCCAGCAGGCTGTACCGTGAACTGCCATCCATCTGCTACAGCATTTGGTAGATGACTTAGGGAGGGGTACAAGTTCAGAGGCACAGCTAGGGGTTTCTACGGTCAGCCACCTTTTTAAATGCTGTTCCAGGTGGCTGTGCTTTTTCACACAATGAAAGTGTTTGAATGGTCCAAAAATAGGACAATAAAACTGATTTAGGTCTCAAATAGTAACTCAGTGTTCTGGTTAATTTAGCTGCAGCCTAAGGCATTAAGGATTTCATGGCCTGGTAATGCTATGAAATAAAAGACTTGTCCATCTGAAAGGGGTTTTGTCTAGGTTGCTTTATATAACTTACTCAAGCATTCTGAGGATAATGAATTGGTCAGAGAACCATAGGAACAAACAGAATGCATCCGTCATGAACAATGTTCTGAATGACTGTACTGTGACTTAAATTCCACATAAAGTTTGTTCTGTATGTGGACTAGTGTGTGCAGCTGATGCAGTGAACTTGCAGTGTATCGTGTATCCATCTCTAACTGTGCTTTGCTCCCCGACCAGATGAACACACGGTGGTGTTTATGCAGCAGGGGCCCTTGGTGCTGGTGTCTGTCTCTTCCAGCCGCCAGTCTGAGCAGCAGCTGCGCGGCGAGCTCCTTTACGTTTACTACCAGATCATCAGCATGCTCACGAAGGCCAGTATAGCCCGCATCTTCGAGCGTAAGAAGAACTACGATCTCCGCCGACTGTTGGCGGGGTCCGAGAAGATCTTGGACGGCCTTCTCAACTTGGTGGATTCGGACCCCAGCTTTCTTCTGTCCGCCGTTCACTGCCTGCCCCTCGCCTCTTCCCTCAGGGACTCCATTAGTCAGATCCTGCAGAAGGCCATTACGCCTAACCTGGTGTTCTCCATCCTCATCGCCAAGAACCAGCTGCTGACCATCGTCCAGGAGAAGACGGTCATTGAAGACGCCAGGCTGGAGCCAGCTGACCTCCACCTCCTCCTCAACCTCATAGGAGCCTCCTCAGCCTTCCAAGCCGGGGAGATTTGGACCCCGATCTGCCTCCCCCTCTTCAACCCTGACTGTTACTTCTATGCCTACATCTCGTACCTGGACCCCCCGGAATGCACCGTCTGCTTGCTCCTGCTCTCCACCGACAAGGAGGCTTTCTATGCCGTGGCGGAGTGCAAGAGGAAGATCGACGAGGGTATGCGTGCACAGAACGCTCTGCGCTCGATTGCCAGAACACAGTCATACAGCGCCAGCCAGGTCGGGGTCTCAGACCTGCGGCACTTCATGTACAAGCCCTTCGACGTGCCAGACAACCACCGCCAGCTCACGCAGTTCACCAGGTGTGTGTGCTGCAGTCTCACTGCCATGTGTGAAAAAAAAGTAAAAAGTAAAAACTTTTAAGGTGGTTTTTAAAATAGCCTGAGCAAAATCCACAGTCTAGTCAAGGAGTCAGTATGTAAACGAGGAAGTGCTCCACCAACCCACATACTGTACTAATGTAATGTAATACTTTTCCTTTAACCTATCGGTGCTTTACATTTTATGCAAAGTATTTGGGTACAGTGGCATCAAAATAGTTTGGTTCTGGACACCTGGTAGGTACATAACAAATAAGACTGGTGGCTGTTGTCAAAATTTCCTGAATATTTAAGCAGCCAATTTGAGCTTTGTTTAGAATATAATTCATACAGAGCATACATTAATAGGTAGTGTTTTTATGATGAAGTAGATTCTAGTATTTTATACTAATCGTCTAATTGTTTAGTCACGACAAGGCCACACTGTCCTGATGGCTGTATAGTTACCATGGCGCCTGTCTGCATTGCCTAGTGCCGTTTATGCAAACTCAAAATTAAATTACTGACCCAGGCCTTTTGAATGGGTCCACAGTATGATAGGAACATGTGATGTAGGATAAGCCTGCTTTTCCTAGCTGCGAGCTGCTTTGGTGCGTGCAATGTGACTGTCTAAATGAGGAGTGCTGGCCGCACTACACAGCACTCTCTCACTGGTCCCGAGCAGATAGCACGTCAGGGGACTTTCCATCAGTATAAGTGGTATGTAAACGTCTTTGCGTTCAGAAAAAGGCCGGCGGGGTGCCTGTGTGCCGCTGGACGCCGCCATCAGTCGCATGTGACGAGCGTGTCCATGTCTGCACTTTCTCCATCGCAGCCCCGAGATGGAGGCCCCCTACAGCAGTGAGGAGGAAAGGATGAGGCTGTTGGACCTGTACCGCTACATGCACAGTCGCATACACAGCTCCTCACGGCCCCTCAAGCTCATCTACCATGTGGCGGAGAGGGAGACGCTGCTCGCCTGGGTAACGGCCCGACTCATTACCGATGCCGGAATCAGGTTTATCTGGCCAAGGATGCTCACACATACAGGGAATCTGTCTCTGCTTGTCAGGGCTCACATACTTGCAGTAGGTACAGACACATTTAAGATGAGACACAGTGATCACATACAGTTCTGTTGATATATTCGATTCAATTCATTATAATGCTGAATGGTACGTGAAACGGAAAAAGCGAAGGAAGACAGAGAAAGAAAAATAGAAAGAAAGGCAGAACACAATAAAGAAGAACCAAAGTCTCCAGAATAGGGAGCTGAACCTTTGGGGGTCCAAGGTCACATGGCTGTCCAGCCCACGCCACAGCCCTCGAAGCATGACGGATGCTCAGCTCATGTCCAGTGCATGATGAGCTGCCGTGAAGCTAAGCGTGTCTCTGTTTAAAATGAAACTTGCATCTGGTTCCAAAGTGCCTTTGGCAGATTGCTCGTAAATTCTGAAGTAATTTTTGACACATGAGACTGTTTGTTTTATAGATGTTGTTTTGACTGTGATTTCTTTCCAAGCCGCCTATTCAGACGACAAGACCACACACTGACGTACCACGTTCTCCCCCGTTCTCCTCTTATAGGTCACCAGTAAGTTTGAGTTATATACCTGCTTCAGCCCCCTGGTGACCAAGGCCTCCGCTATCAATGCTATAACAAAGCTGTTACGTTGGATCAAGAAAGAGGAGGAACGGCTCTTCATCCGAACCCCCCCAAAGTACTCAACCACCCCTAACCCCAGCAAGAGCTCCCGGGCGAGCAAGAGCGGCCCCGACAGGCAGGACAACACTGACAATGGGTTTCTGTCCCTCTTATAGTGGAATGTCTACAATATCCTGCCGCCTGTTTGAACCCCAGAGCGGCTGTGATGGGTCAGATGCAAACAATAAGTAGTCGTGTTTAAGGCATCATAAATGGATTGATAAGTTAATTTCATTTGTTTAGAAAATGTATGATTGACAGGGTGCAAATAAGTATTTGAATAAGACAAGGGTGGGGTGCAAACTGATTTGTGAAGCTGTGTCTGAAATGTTTGTGTGCTGTGGAAATTCCTATGGTATTCATGCAGGGGTCTTTTTGATAGGATTTTATTGTATTGTGCACAGCCCCTTTCACTTCTAAAAACTTGGTTTCTAGGAATCACTGAAGAAATATTGATGAAAACCTTGTATTTCATGTCAACTTAAGATGGAATCATTTGAATAGGAACATCTGTCTTTTTAAGTCATGAAAATATGCTGCACAATGTTTATTTTTTGTACATGTGGAGGTGAGTCTCTCTCCATGTCTGCACTACCTGCTACCCAGCAGAGACATCGATTTTTTTTCTTTCTCTTTTCTCAGAGAAAAATGTACAGTGTGAAATTGTGTGTGTGTGTGTGTGTGTGTGGTGCTTTTTTTTAAATGAACCAGTTATAACTACCCTTGAAGTCTTCGTTATCTGACTGCAAAATGTCTTCTTCCCACCCCATTCAGAAAGTTCACATAGTCTGATAATGTCTTTTCAAGCCAAAGCGCAGAAATGTTTGTTGTCTTTGGTTTTAAATTGATTCACTACCCTAAAACCATCCGATAGAATTGTGCAGTATCTCATCTCTGCCAGCCATCTTTTAAAAGGTTTTATTCCCCCCTTATTATAATCACCTGCACGAAACAGCATGTGGTGTTTTTGAATATTAGTTGCCCTGGATAAAATGTGATATCGGATGAATTCTGGAAGATTCACTTTTACCTTACATAGGATACCTTTTGAATGACAGTTTGGGCTTAAGCTTAAGACTGAAAAAGCTTAAGTTCTATGAGGGCCCTGAGATTCTATTAGAGCTTTCATGGCTTCAGTCCTTTGACGTACATAGTGCCCCACCCTGACCCCTGTGTTGATATTTTACAAGCAGGCAGTTGTTTTCAGATGCAGTTTTGGTACTCTGCTGTTCACCTTTTAACCTGAGACCTCATCAATTCTGTCTTTTAATATATTGGGGTAATTCAGGGAGAGGATGGAACCTGTTTTTTAATATAATTCACATGGAGAATGTGTGGAGAGTGGCTGCGGAAATAAATCTCCCATGTTCCCCAGCGTGTGTTTCTCTCTGAAAACTCTATTTGTCTTACTTCAGGCAAATTAGCTGCTATTTAAACTGCAGTGCTCACCTTCATTTACTTACGTATCTCACTGTTATTACTTCATATTTATATGTACCACATACCTTTTATAGTCTGTTTTACCCTGTTTTACATCTGCTTGCCACCATAAAGACAGACAATATTTGCTTAACTAAAATAGCACATCAGAGGTGCCATCAGGAATTGACCTTGAATCACCCAGTATGCTGCTAAATGAAATTACTAAAAAATAGTTTCTAAAATATTTTTTTTATATATTTTTATATTTCCAAAGGGTGTAATTGGATTATCTTTGAAAAACATTAATGTATTTATCCTGCTTTTAACATGATGTAAAATGTGAGCGTTGTAGGGGACAGAACCACATGGCAGGCATATTGGAACCAGACAGTGCTGTATATCTAGTATGTGCTTTTCAGGGATTTGTATCAGCAGGGTAGAAAGGGTCAGGTTAACATGGATTCACCACTGTGAAACCCAACATGATAAACATCTAGGTCAGCAATCATTTTCATGTGGTGGAGCGATCGCCAAGTGGGAACGGCGTGCTGACCAAAGACGAAGGGATGGGATGTGGGTCTTAACGTGACGGAGATGGGTGCCTTTCTGTTGAAGGCTCTGAGAGTCAGCACTAAGGGCTTAAACGTGATGCAAGCGCCAACAGGGAGCCAATGAGGAGTGAGAAGGAGGGGTGTAACATGAGAGTATTATGGCTGATTAAATATCAGACTTGCTGCAGAATTGTGAGTCATCTACAGGGAATCTGTCAGGTAGTAGTTGCAGTTATGAGATGACAAGTGTTTGGTCTGCAAAGAAAGTGTTAATTTTAAATTAAAGTAAATGGTTTTGGTCCACATCACTCACCTTCCCCTTCCACACTTCTGTTTTGACTATGATGTTCACCGCTACAATTTGAGTGTGACCAAAACATGGCATGAAAATTACATCTAACTCTGAAAAAGTGCTAGAAATTATTATTCTGTATGGACACTATGGAGGGTGGTATGTGGTTCAGTGGATTAGGACATTGTGCCTACAATTGGAAAGCTGCTGGCTCTAATCCCAGAAAGTGATTTCACTGTTGCTTAACCCTCAGTGGCTCTAGGGATTAGCTGACTGGGCTTTCTCAAAAAAAAAAACAATTTTGCTTTGGATAAATTATGTGTACTAAGACCCTGCATTTCATTTCATACCTTTTCAAACTGTTTTACTAAAATATGCTTCACAAATGGTTAGTCAAACAGAAGTACAAATTCTTTGTATAATTTATAATAATTTATATAAATAATATTATATTATCCATCCATCCATTTTCTGTAACCCCTATTCAGGATCGCAGATTATTTTATCATATATTATAATAATATAATAATAAAATCCTCCTTTAATGTGTAAAATTTTTAGCTAAAAGTCACTTATACTGAGATTACCAGAAAAATCACTATAGTTTACTACAGTACCGTGTACTGTTTTATTTTTATTTCAATAATTTTATTTTAAAATTTGTTTTATTTTATTATGTATTCTTTACTTTTTCTCTTCCCAGTATTTACTGTCCAGTATTTGTACTCAACTGCTCCTTCACCTGACTGTATACTGCTCTGTAGAAATTCAATGTCATTTCACATGTGTGAAACGACAGTAAAGTGACTTGACTTGATGACAGAAAATTAAAAAGCCCTACATGGGAAATGAGTTAATACATGCCTTAGGTTAAATGATGCAAGTGGCACCGATTACCATGGTTACAGCTATATAGCACAACATGCCACATGTTTTCTGAGGCAGTGAGTTGCTCCTCGGTTTGGACTCTAATTGGAAGGTCGCCATTTCAAATCCTATCATCATATCTCCATTGGACCCTTGAGCAAGGTCCTTAACCCTGGAAACTGTTACAGGAGCACTGGATAACAGCCTGACCCTATACTCTAATCCAAAGCCTTGCTCGCACCTATGTCTATCGGCCTCATAGGATTGGATACGGGGAAATTAAAGGATTCACGAGTGCTGTTATTTATACTTTTACATCAACTAAATAAAGTCTCATTTTATTTCTGTATATTCTGAAACCAGTATAATGGCATATTTTTTAAGAAATAGAAATGTCTGTTTTCCCAAACTAAGCTTAACTATATGAGCTTAAAATGTTTGCTGAGTAAACCAGACATATTTTGCTGAAGCGTTAGTTAAAATATAACTCCCTCTGCCGGACAGGTGCCATTAACACAATTTCCGCGTTCACTGACTCTGTTTTTATGGAATGTACCATGAGGACAATATTGATAGGGAACTTTAATAATCTTAAATCCATAATACTTCTTTTTTAAAATCCGTCACATATATTACTTATTTAGTCATATATAATATTAGCTGTTAAAACATGAAAATGCATAACTTAGCAGGACACATTTCATTTCATTCTCGTTATGCCTCCTAATTCAGCACCTCCACACAGAGGACCAAACTGATGGTATCGACCATAGCCGGACCTCGGGTAAAGATGGCGCAGGCACTGTCAGAAGAGGAGTTCCATCGAATGCAGGTATTGATTAATGCTATCGCTAGTAATAAACACGAGGCCCTCTTCATATCTTCAGTCCTGCAGAGTCGATTCTGCTTTCTTGGCAGCAGTCAAATATCCTAGGTTGACACTGCGAATTTTACAAGAATTTAAAACAAACATTAAGTGTACCAGTAGGCCGGAACGGCAGCTCTGGAGTTGGGTGGGGATGGAGCTGGGTGTTTAACGTTAATAAGATGCTGGGACTGGTAGTTATCTGTGGTTAGTAGTGAGACCAAATTAGCTGTAGTTCCTAAGTTCGTTTAATGGCCGTGGTGAAGACGTTACGCGTTAGCGTATATCCGAGGGGGTACCTGGAAAGCAGCCATTCACAACTGGGAAGAACAAGGCACAGCTAGCAGTAGCCAAAGCAGAGAAGCGATCAGGTGCTAATTAGCTAACTTACCAATTTTTGCACGTAATCAGGCGATAAACTTGTTCGTACGTTGCAGATATGTAGTAGAGTGAATGTATCGTGTGTGCCTGCTTGTCGAGCCGCCCTTGTCTGTTGAAAAGCTTATACTGCTCACATTCACTGTAATGCAATATGTTCCTCACTGTGCTAACTAGCTAAGTATTTTTTCGTTACGCAGGAGTGCTGGATGGTAAAACGGTATCTGGCGTTTATTTGTGTGGCTGCCGCCTTCCTTAACTTGAGAAGCTGTTTACCGTTTTCGTGTCCTTCGTCGCGCTGACGGTGCTGCATCCCCCCCCTGCCCAGCATTGTTTTTATCGCAAACCTACCAGAGCTGAAACGATCGCCGAAGTTAATGCCTGAGGATGTATATACAGTGAAGGCGAAAGCTGCCCCTTTCGCGGTGAAGCGGGGCATGCATGTTTTCACTCCTATTCACAATATTTATAAGAACATCACAGTGACTGTAACGAACCCTGTTAGCACAGTACTGTAATGTGTAAGGTTAATATCAAACCACAATGCTGAAGCATCCCCAGCGATGATCTGACTTTAATGACCTACTTTAATTTTTACATATTCTGCCACGTTCGTAGCTGACTGCTCACTCGCCCGAGACGTTTCCTTAAGCGTTACGTAATAACAGAAAGACTAAAACAAGCAACTTTATCTGAAATCTAGAGGTAAATAGAAGAACAAATACATTCATACAATTTTCAAAAGTCACTGTGAAGCTTTTAAAAATAAGTCAGTATTAGCTTAAGTGTGGAAAGACACTTTACCACTTACTTTAAACTACTTACTTGGATTCTATAGATGTAGTGCCCTTATAATGTAATGACATTCATCTGTGATTTGGAAGCTAAACCTGTTGGTCAGGGCCCTGCTTATTTGTATTGTTCCTGTGGTTTGAACATGATCACTTTGCTTTACTGTAAGCCTCCTTCCTATTTGGGTACGATGAAAAAACCAGGAAGTTTATTGTGGATCAGGGGGCCTGAGGATGTACTGGTTTTCACACGTTTCTAGCCATTTTTTTTTTGCTTTATTTAAGAAATTATAATGGATCAACTGAACTGGTATCTTGTAAAAACCACTGGACCCTGGTGCTCAAATCTGGGGCTGAGCAGCCTGGTTTAAATGATTTTGGCTGCTATCACTGCCGCTTTTATCTCCTGTCTCAGCATGGCGGTGTCTGATTCAGATTTTGGATGTGGAGGAAATATCTGACATGCGCCTGGTTTATAGAGAGCCAAAGATCTTCTCAGTGACCATTTTAAATGCCATGAATCGGCACGTGATGTAGCAGTTATCTGTACTTTATCAGGTCCCGTGGCTTATCTGTTTCTAACCCGTGAAGATTTTTTGTCAAAACGTTTTTTTTCCAACGTTCCGAAGATACAACTTAGTTTGGAAATAAGTCAGTTTTTTTTAAGCTTCATAATTTACACATTTTCAGGCTGCACATGTCTTAAACAATTAAATATGAATACTGTTATAAACTCAATCACACTTTCCTTTTTTCAGGAATATGATACTGTTATTGAAGCTGTCCTGTTTCACCCACCTGCTTACTTATTTGTATCACTTACTGTTTGCATTGCATTCCTGTTACATGGCTAAGTTTACCCGACGCCTTGTTGTTGTACAGTAATTGTAGGCACAATGTCCTAACCCACCCTACTCCTGGAGAGCCATGTCTCATTACAGCTCTCATTACTTCAGTGGCAAGCATATAAGAAGCCCAGTGCTCTCTGTCCAAATAAAACACTGTTGACTCGGTTTATTTTCCTTTATGAATAATTCCTGTCTTGTCTCTTCTTCCAGGCTCAGCTCCTGGAGCTGAGAACACAGAACTACCAGCTTTCTGATGACTTGCGGAAAAACACAGCCGGTAAGCTCATGGCAGCTGAGCGTCTTCCATTCATTCCAAAGGCCTCTCCAGTAGGGCTGTAACAGAACACAATTTTTTCTTGTACTGTTCAGTCGCAGCATTTTCCGTTTGGAACGGAGATGGAACAAGTAAATATATTTCTTATGTTCTCACACGGGCAAAACCTAAATTCACAAGTACAGTAGATGTTCAACACAAAAATGTGGATGTGAGTTGGTTATGGGTATTACTAGGGAACTCCAGAACACTCCCACGTCACTTAAATCAGTACAGAAAGTACTGAACCACAAGTGTGGTACATGGTGTGGAGGAAAAGTGCCCTTTTATGTTGGACGGTTTTTATGGGGTGTTTGGCGCTCCCAATATCTTTGTAAGAGGACAAGGGTCCAAGTCTTTAGAGTCCTGGTTCTCCCTGTTTTGCTATATTTTTTGAGACTTGGATGCTATCCAGTGACCTGAGACGAAGACTGGACTCCTTCGGTACAGAGTCTCTTTGGAGAATCCTTGGGTACCGCTGGTTTGACTTTGTGTCGAATGAGCGGTTGCTAGAGGAGTCCCGAATGAGGCACATTACCTGCATTATGAGGGAGCGTCAGTTATGGCCCTACAGCCATGTGGCGTGTTTCCCTGAGGGTGATCCGGCTTGCAGGATCCTCATTGCTGAGGACCTGAGCAGCTGGACCAGGCCAAGGGGACGCCCACGTAACACCTGGCTGCGGCAGATGAAAGGGTGGGACTGGACCGTGTGTCTGCCTGGGAGATCGCCAGTTGAGATCCCGAGGAGTTTCGCCATGCGGTGGGTGCAGCAACATGCTGCATCAGTGTATGCTCCCTGACCTGACCTTTTTGTTTGTTTTTAAGTGTTTTCATATTGACGCATGGGGGTTTTGTGTTTCCAGGAGGTTCTGCGATGACTCCGTGTTTAACTGAGACCTTGCGTGTACCTCATATGCACAACCTAGCAGGCCACGAATGAGGCTGAAGCCATAACATTTCACTAATAGCTATGTGGTGCTTTTGAGTGATAAAAATAGGCAGCATGACACAAGATGGTCACGTCCAGCATGAAGCACACGCTCGCATTTGTCTCACGTGTGACCGTAGCTTCACGTGTGACTGTTAAAACCTGAGAAAGTGCAGCTCAGACTCTCGTGTCGATGAAGAGATCTGGTGTGGTTTTAAGCAGCAGGTACTAACCTTAGATTTCCCCATTTAAACATGTTGAATGTCTCTGCTAAACATCCTCACTACTCTTAGTAATTTTAAGTTTTCTATCTTGTTGCAAGTTCCAATCATTTTGACTACAAGACCTGTGTAACTTGAACTGTACTTTGCCATAGTGTTGTTTGGCCAATGTGCTGTTTATCAGGACTTTGGAACTCTGTTTAACTGGTAGATTTGGGTGTTGTTTAAGAATTGGGAAGCAGCCTGGAACATGTGTTGCATCCAGAATCACATACTGAAGAAAAAAGCAGTGAGGCGGCTCAGTTCTAATACTATTTCAGTGTAAATGCAGTGAAAATGCAGTAAAACCATAATGTTTGTAAAATTTGCATTGGTGATTCTCATTCAGTACACACACACACACACACACACACATATGTCATACATACATCATACATATATATATATATATATATATATATATATATAATATATTATATATATATAATATATAATATATAATATATTATATATAATATATATAATATATTATATATAATATATATATATAATATATTTAGAGCTTATTTAATTAAGAGACCACAGCAACATTTTTAGTTATACTTATTTCTCAATTTATGGGTATGGTTCAGTGTAAAATATACATATTTTTTGGAAACTCCTATCTGGCTCTTCTCCGTTTCTCATTAGTGAAGGACTTTTTCTTTGCTTTATGGTCCTGCTTCTAGGAGCCTGTTACAAACTTGTGCTAGAATTGCACTTCACACCAGTAAATGTTTCCCATTCTTTTTGAAGGTCACTTGTCGTCCCCAGATTCATGAGGCACTGTTGAACAAGTTGATGGTCATCTCTAGCATTAGAAAATCTCTTCTGCCCTCTGCCTGGCTGGTTTTTTGTCGTTCCCGCTGTCTCCTGCTTCACATTGTTCTTGTGTACTGTGATCTTAGACATTTTGAGCCTGGAAGCAGCCTGTTGCTCAGTGTAGCCTTCTGCCAGCAGAACCAGGATTAAACAAAGATTAAACAATGCAGATTTTTTTTTTGAAAAATTGAGTGGTCTCAAATTTTTTTCCAGAGCTCTATGTATATATGCGGCAGTTGATTAAGTAGGCAATTTCTTGACCCTTGTTGAATCATGTATCGCAGTAGATCATTCTAGAATCTCTCGAAGGCCAACTGGGTCTCTTTCATATAGTATTTATTGTTAATGATGTTTTTTTTCCAGTGTTCTTGTCTTGGAACCTTTCCAAAGCATGCCTACCACTGCTCATTTGTTGTATGTGTCGGATATGATCTTGTGCACATTCATGGATTCCTAGGGTGGTACCCCTCAGGAATCGCTGCATCTGTGATATCCTATAAATATACACTCTCAGAAGGGTTCATTATGCTACATACAGCATGGAAATAATCAGGCAGCACTACACTGGAGGCTCCTTTTCTTATATTTTTGTAGCTGTTGACTTCCTGTGTGAATATAAAATGCTGTTAATTTGGGAGTGTTCATAATTTATAAATTATTTCCATGAAGATTAGAAATTCATTGACAATGGAATGCTAATGCGGTGAACAAGAGTTAATGTATTAGCAGCTGAATTAACACAAACTTAAAATACCATACCATACTTAACTGGGTAGCAATGACATTGCTGCATTAAAACTGGCAGATTGCCCAGTGCCTCCTACTGATCACTTTCATATTAGTCAAGTGTTTCTTCATGCAGGTGGGCTAAAGAGCAGCAGTGAGGTAAGTGCGCGTGTTGCCTGTTGATGAGGATCTGAAGGACGTTTTTATGATTGTGTGTTGCAGAGCTCAATGTTGTCCGCCAGAAGACCTCAAACCTGGAGAAGGAGCACATGAAAGCACAGAAGGTATAGAGCTGATCTTAAAAGCTGTAACAGGAATCTGAGTCTCCCTGAACTTTTACTCTGTTTAAACCTTGACTTTATTTTATAAGTAATGACTAGCCTGGTGCAGCAGTGGTAATAGAAATGCATGTCCTGCATCTCCCCTGAGATGTTAAAATAATAGAATAATAAAATATAATAATACAGCTGTTACTACATAAATGAAAAACTGCAGAGTGACGATTCATAGCACTGCTTGATATTGTAGCTTGTAGAAATGGAACTTGTTACCCTTTGTTGATTTGCAGACAGGTAACAATCACTGCAGTGTGGAATTAATGGGTGTTTTGATTCTTAGATATGTGCATGAAATGCAATGCAGTGTAAAGACAAAGCACATAGGCCGATTGGATCATATAATTTCAAGTTACATTATATGTTCTATGTTTATTGGGTCTACAAGTATGAATGTATCCGATCAAATAAACAAGAGCTTATAGCTTATTTATGCCCATAGCCTCTGCAGAGCAATAAACTGGTTTAGAATTGCCCTGTTAGTGTTTTGAGCAGTACATATGTTCTAATATGCTTTTTATTCTCAATTGTAGGCTCTGAGTAAGAGCAAAAAGGCTCAGGTAAGTCAGATTTATCTGATTAAAGCAGGATTTTACTGTCAATATTTTGTTAAAATTTAAACCAACCAGAGTGTGATGCTAGCTACTGTGATCTATCTTCTCATGATCCATCTTTTGGGGAAATCTGACGTTGTTGTTGCTGTGTGGGTAGTGAGGACACTGAGGTAACTTTCCTGCAGCCCGTAGAGCTGTAGAGATTCAACTCAGATTGAAAATTTCCCAAGGATGCACATGGACGATGCATGCTGTACCATCTCTGCTAAACCTGACAGGAAGTGGACGCCCTGCTGAACGAGAACGAGATGCTCCAGGGCAAGCTGCACAGCCAGGAGGATGACTTCAGACTGCAGAATAGTACGCTGATGCAGGAGCTGTCCAAGGTACCAGCCCCGCCCCAAGGCCCAGTGCCACCTTGTGCTCAACCTACAAACCATGTACATGAGATAGAAGGCGGTCGTGTGTTTTAACAGGCTTTTTTATAAATGAACTGAGACAGAAAAAAAAGACACCACTGCACCTCAGCTCTTTTAGGTGTGATTGCGATTAATACATTGCCTTGTTTGAATTACTCAAGGGTGGTACTTGGTGGCTGCCATTTTCATCATGTCAATCACATAAAAAGTACTGGCACACGCACGTGTGCTAAAGACATTCACTTCCTGGTCAAAAGTATGGACACCCCTTCCGGTTATTCGGCTGTTTCAGCTACATACAGCACCAAGTTGGCTTAACAGGTGTGAAGCAACTTTGCCATTGGACTGCTGGACAGTGGAACTGCGTTCTCGGGAGTGATGAAGCACGCTTCACTGTCTAGCAGTGAAGGAGAGCGCTCCCTGTCTGCCGGAGAGCACAGTGCCTACTGGCAGCGCAGTGGTCTGGGGCTGTTTTTTCTAGTTTGGTTTTTGCCCTTTAGTTCCAGTGAAGGGTAACTTTAACTCATCAGCATATGAAGACATTTTAGACAATTGTGTGCTTTCAGCCTTGTGGCAACAGTATGGATACGGCTCTTTCCTGTGCCAGTGTTACTGTGCCCCAGTGCCCAAAACGATGGTCCTCTTTGACTAGTTCTATGTATATCTTTCTGTGTAAATGGTTATATACTCTCAGATCTTTTCCACAGGGACTGATGGACTGTATGGGTGTGTGTTTGATATTCTGTCCGCGCTTAATCGTGTGTCAGTCTGTGGCAGACTGTGCAGAGTTGGGCTTTTTCCCCACATTCTCTGACGCATTTCTGTTTGATCCACTGCAGCTCTGCTCCCAGATAGAGCAGCTGGAGCAGGAGAACAAGGCGCTAAAGGAAGGGAAGACGGTGCCGCCTCCTGCTTCCAGTCCCGCCTCCAGCCCCCTAGATGGAGAGATGCTCCGCCTCCAAGCCCAGAACTCCGCCTTGCAGAAAAACATGGCAGGTGAGCCAGAAGTCTTCATGAGAGCATATGCTGAGTGTTGTACTAAATAAGCTTCTTCACTTGTAGAGTATTAGGAACACTTTTTTTTTTTATATATATATCTAAAAGGATTTCTGACGTCATCCTGAACATGTCACTTAAGCCATAGGTGCATGAAGATGTTTTGAGCTCAGGGTGCTCAAAGATGGAATGACCAAATGGACTTTACTGAAGTTCTTTTTTATGACCAGTAGCTATCAATAGCTAACAACGGTAGCATTTTAGGATAAATAGTCATGAAGTTACCTCTGAGATATTGTGAGATAATAGCAAAACAGATTTTTTCTTTGAAAAACATACACAAAGACACGCTGCCCTACAGTATTCTGGCACTGTATTACCACCAACAACCACAGGGGGTGCTGAAGAACCCTCAGCCCCCCTACTTCCAGTGCCACTTCTTAAGCCACTTCTGAGTGATGTTCGGAGCCCAAATGTATGGCTTTAGCTGTAAATAAATCACGCATCTTAGGTTTAAATTATTGGGGAGCTGTTGTGAGCCAATGGGAGGCACTTCGGCTCTGCAGTTCTGGTAATCTGCTCCCGTCGGCCAAAAACCCTCACTTTGTGAATCACAGACACATAACTGACTTCAGCTGTATTTTTTACTGTCCATAAATTATCCTTCCTTTGCCATTATTCCTTTGCTGATATTGTTTATTTACCTTATAATTTCTTGGGGTGTTCGCTTAGGGCACTGACGCTGAATTGTTGTCATGCTGACTGTGGTTTACCATTATTTTTAACACCAGTTATATCACGTTATGGATGCTAATTTATCAGGGTATCTGATCAGTGAGTTATTTTGGTTTGTCCTACCCAGGGGGACTGTTCTTCTGGAGCTTTTCTGGTGGCAGCAGAGCAAAAACATTGTGTAATACCACTGGCACTGAGTCATTGCTACTGGGGAAAGATGTCTGTCAGTGGATAGTGAGTCTTACTGTGACATCGTTTCAGACTCTTTTGGTGGTGGTGGGGGGGGGGGTCACATACTCTGGAGTTCTGGATGTACTGTATGCATTATTTAGCTGCTCGTAAGTGTTTCCTGCAAGTGGGAAATCCAGAGTTTCGGAGGGATTGTGAGAAAATTCCCATCGTTCCCTCTGTCCTCAAGCCCTTCAGGAGCGCTATGACAAGCTGGTCCAGGGTGACAAAGGCACAGAGCAAGACGAGTTCCCGGTCACCACGGTGGACGGACGGTCTGACTCAAACGGCATCTCAGCGCAGTCGGAGGGCGGTCCCGACAGGCCGGAGCAGGTGAGGGGAGGCACCCGCTGGGGGGGGAGGGGACACCACAGCACAGGAATTCACACTCGCTGTGGCTGTCACCGCCGGCTGCTTCTGACAATTCTGCAACACCTCCCCCCACCCCCATCCCTCTGCAGGTGGTGGGAAAGTGCAGCAAACTGGAGCAGCGGGTGCAGGAGCTAAGTGGTGAGTCACCCCCGCACTAATCCAGCATGCCACTGGGTGGCTTATTGGAGCGGCACCCCCCCCCCCGGCGACAGGGTGACACATCAGCTTTAATTAAAGCCCCGACCTGGGGTAATTGAGGGCCTGCTGGCTTCCCCCTTATCACATGCTAAGCGGTGCTGCTGCTGTGGGACTGGCAGAGGGCGGACTGCAGGCCGCTGCTCCATTAATTTTTTTTTTAAACCCTGGTTCTGTTGACCCAGAGGTGGAATTACGGCTGCACACAGAGTTGGAGGAGAAGCGCTTGCTGAAGGAGCAGCTGCAGGCCCTGGAGGTAAAACCCACATGCACTGTGCAAGAGTCACATCCACCATCATCCACCATCGCTCTCCATGGCCTGACCTTGCTGTTTAGTGTACTTTGAGTACGAACTCCTCGAAATCCCCTCCCTGCACAGCCACTTCACGCCCTGCTGTTTGTGTATTTATTCTCCGTCTTTTGAAATAAATCATTGTCTTTTTGTCCAGTCATCCAAGCAAACGGACGTGACAAAACTTCAGGAGGAAATCGCTAAGGTGAATGTCGGTTGTTTGCATTTAAATGAGATGCAGCGCACTGCGTGATATACAGTGTATATCAGTGTATAGTTTCACATGAGCACTGCCTTCTCGCATTCTTCTGAGATTTGGTCTTCCTGCTTTTCTAGCTTACAGACAAACTAAAGAAAAAACAAGAAAGGTAAGATTTTGGTGGCTTGTTTAATGTACAACCACGTCAGTAACAGCTGTTATTTGAAATCAGTAGTCAAAACGTGGTAGTCAAATTAATAATAAATCATGTCGTCATTTTATTTTATTTTTTTTCTATGATCATGTCCTTCTGTTCTGAAAAATAGTTCCTCTCTGTTCTTTAGTTTAAACAGATGGATGTAGAGCTGTATTGCAGTAGATCTGTCGTGTCACTCAATGAATCTGGCTTTAGCGTAATGGTTTGCAGTCAGTGTCTGCGCATGGAAATCGCCGAGTCGCTTTGCTTTTGTAAGTGTTTCACACTGATGAGGTGTGTTTTTTTATTCTTGAAAAGAGAGACATTGCAGGGAAGTTTACACATTTCCATATGGCGCACAGTGGATGTTAAAGTCTGCAGTGTGAATCCTGTGGTGGGTATTAGAGCAGGTTATGTGAGCTTTGGGAGGCCATTCCAGCTTCAGCAGGTGAAATGCATGAACCTAAATTTGATTGGTTTGCTGAGGTGGATGCTGGCCGCTTCCTCTGGGTGGCGTCATGCACGTGCTCTTGGCCTTCTGGCGCCGGGACCTTTAGCAATATAAGGTTAAAGTTTTCTTTGTTTCTTCTCTGTCCTTGTGTAGCTTCCAGCGTTTGCAAGGAGAAAAGGAGGTTCTGTACACTGACAGCAGGTATGGTTCTTAAAGCCGGTCCCATGTGTCTCGAACTTGGACGAGCAGCGTCAACATCCAGATTATCAGCATAATGCATAGTATTTACCAAATTGTATTTGGTCTGTATTTGTTTTGACAGGACTAAAATTGATGAGATTCAGCAGAAGAAAGAGGAGGAGTTGAAATCCATGAGCCTCCGTATCCAGAAACTGCAGGGAGACTTAATGTCAGCCAATCAGGTGTCAGATGAGCATAACGACATCTGCTTCAGATTGCGGCGTAACTGAAAATGGTGGACCGGTCATGGGCCTATAGCTCGAGCTGGATCCAGTGGTGGGCTCTGTAACTTTGCTTCTCATGTGTTTGTAGACTATCGCAGAGCTGAAGGAACAGCTACAGAGCCAGCAGAAAGAGCAGGATAAGGCTCTGCACGAACTCAGAGAGCAGGTGGGCTTTCACTCTGGTCACACTCTGTGCCTGAAAATATATGTCCCTCTACGACATTAGAGAAGCCTGACTCCTGTTCTGTGATGTGAAAGGTCTCCAAGATCCAGCTTCATGTATTGCAGTTTTAGCTTTGCTTAGGTTATAGCAGACCTGCGCAGACAGTGTCGCTACCCATCTCATGCTAGGCTTCTGTGAATAAGCTCAAATGCAGCGCAGACGCCCTATGGTGTCACACTGGCTGTATAAAGACCAGAGACAGAAAAACCTCCTTAATCAAACACCCAGTTGTTCTTTTTCCCTCTCTGTGCTCTGAGCAGCATTTTTTGCACTGTTCTAGCAGATTAAGAAAATGGCTATTTTATGTTTCACATTTTTTTATTTGTATGTGAATATTTAAATTTTTTTATTTCACTCCAATCCATTGTAATGTTTTTGGCTCCAGGCCCTATAGAGCAGCTCTGCAGAGAGAGAATAATTCAGTTGGATGCACAATGTAAATTTAGAAGATTAAAGGTTAATACTTCCCCCTCATGCGCCACGTTATTTACACTAAAGTAGGTTAGGTTTATGGTAGCAGGTTTATTCTTCGACCTACTGCCTGAATTACTTAAGCAGAAAGGTGACTGCAGCAGTCTGCTGAATGTCACGAGAATGTTTGCAGGTGCAAAACATGCTGCTACACTTTTCCTTCGGCGACTTAAAGGATTCTTTGGTTTCTGTGCAGTGTCTTTCAAAACTTCCAAATGATCTGGGCATGAAAGTTCTGCTTTCATTCCCAGCAAAGGCAAATGAAGATCACCTGAATAATTAAGGATTAGCGTGATTGAGGGCCTGCTGCGGGACGGCCTCACGCACACGCCCGCGCTGGCCTCTGTACTTCTGGGACTTGTGTGTCTTCGAGTTAATAATTGACCATGGATCTTTTGCTGAATTACACTGAGCCTTGGCTGCAGCTTTTTGCTGGAGAGTCATTAGGAACTTCTGGGGGCTCCTGAGTTTTAATTAACCCAGAACGAGCTTCAGACATATGCCTTCAAGATAAGAAGCTTGTCTTACTCCTTTTGGTGCAGACTGTCCCTCAGACTTCCTGTGTGTTATTTCTAACTTTGCGGTCTCTCTCTCCTCTTCTTCCTGGTGACTTTCTGGAGGTCCGTCCTAACCCCCCCCCCCTGCCCACTACACGTTCCTTTCCCTGACCCTTTGTTCCTCGCCCTGCTCTCTTCTCTTATCTGATCCTGATCATCTCTCTTCCACATGTGGTGTGCCCCCCCCAACCCCCCCCCCCCCAACACCACCTGATCACATGATGCAGGTAGCATGTCAGAGTGCAGTGAGTCAGGAGCAAGTAGAGAGCATCCTGAGTGAGAATGATGCTCTCCGGACTAACCTAGCAGCCCTAGAACAGGTACAGCTCGCCTGCGCCCCCTAGCCAGCACTATGGTTTCACACTTGTGGTTGCTCACCCCCAATGCCAACATCACTCGTGTGTCTGGTAAAGAGCACATTGTAGAGGAAGTAGTGTGACTAAACAGGAGGCTTGTAGAGTGGGGTGATTTATTTTGGCTATGTGAACAAATTACTCCCCCCCCCACCCCCCAGAGCTATGACTATCATTTTGCCATACGGCTATGTGATGCAATTATGTAACTTTATTTTTAGTCTGCGATTTTGTCATTGCTAACAATACTAGATTTTCAAGCAGGATTACAGAAATACTTTGGTTTCTGACAGTATGCAGATAATTTGTTTTGGTCTCTATTGTTCCAGTTACTTGGCTTTTGCCTCATTAGAGCTTCATGCATGTGAGTGAGAGATGCTGCCCGAGCGCGCATCCCCCCCGCTCCCACTGATGTGTGCCTGTGCTCGCCATGGTCAGATCCAGACAGTGAAGACCCAGGAGATGAACCTCCTCCGTGACCAGAACATGTCTCTCAGCGTGGAGCTGCAGCAGAGGCAGACCCAGCAGGAGAGCTTCCTGGCCCAGAAGGATGACCTGAGCTCTCAGCTGCAGGTCTGCGTCACCTCCGGCAGCGCACACTCATTGGCTGTATCGCTAGCAACAGTGACGCCAGCGTGTCTCATTGGTGGCATTGTTAGCAGCAGTGATGCCGGCATGTCTCATTGGCTGTATCATTAGCGGCAGTGACACCAGCACATGTTATTGGCCGTATCATTAGCTCAGTGATGCTAATGTGTCTCATTGCTCGTATCGTTCACCCATCTGATGAAACGGTGCTGTATCTGTCACTAAGTAAGGGATTGTGCTGCATATCATTGGTGTGCTTTATTCATTGTTTCACATGAATGAGGCATCTCCTCTTGCAATGTTATGCCCTCAAAGACACTGGTATGTTCTCATATCTGAAGTGGACCGAATTAGAGAGATTAATATAAAAAATAGAACCACCTTTGCCACTTGTAGTTGGGAAAACTTCCCTGTTCCTTATCTTTTAGAAAACTGAAATCATATTGTCTTTAGAGAAGGACCAGTACAGCATTGAAAAAAGGTTTAGAAGTAATTATGTACAAGAACACCAGCTTGCGATACCTGCAGTGTCTTTTAAAACCTCCATCTGCGCATCAAATCCTCCATTCCAGTGGGCGGCAGTAGAACGGTAGTGACGGATGGTTTAACTCGTGCAGCAGGTAGCTTTGTGTCAGGCCTGGGCAGTGTTCTTGGGAACAGTCACCTCTCTGCACCGTGTGCAGGCCCTGTGCTCACATCTCTTATGGTCTGAAAATAACGTGTGTTTAGGAGGCCAACCGAGCAAATGGCAGACTACTGGAGCAGCTGACGGAGCTGGGCCAGGAGAAGGAGAAGGTGCAGCAGGAACTGGAAGATGCGAGGAAGGTACTGCATATCACCATGGCGACCTTAAAGCAAAACCGCCTCATAGTTGGGGAGCCATAACAACAAATCGTAAAACTGTTCGAATTGGGATTCGTGCCCATAAATTCAGTGGGAGGCAAAGACTTGGTGTGATAGTTTTCAAGTATGAAATGAAAGTGGTGAGCCTGAAAAGAGACATCAGTTTAGTTCTGGTCCAGCTGCCTTTTGAGGTATGAGCTGAAATGAGCTGGATTCAGGCTCCTGCTGAGTCTGTGTTTTTTGCTGAGTTACCAGTGAGTAAGAAATGTGACCCCCCCATCCCCGATGGCTCTCCTGGCAGACGGCAGACAAGCGCAAGGCCATGCTAGATGAGCTGGCCATTGAGGTGGCCCAGGAGAAGTCCCGGCACAAGGAGGAACTGAGTGACGTGCGCTTGCAGCATGAGAAGGAGGTGCTGGCAGTCCGGGCGCGTTACGAGAAGGAGCTGCGGGACCTCCACGAGGACAAGAACCGCACCGAGGAAGAGATCCGCTCCCAGCTGCGTGACGAGAAGGTAGGGGGCTGGGGACATGGTGAGCAGAGCAGCAGGGAATTGGGCGTGAGGCTGGGAGAACAGGCTGGGAGGGGGGTTACA